GTTTTAGGACCTCCTCCCTCGTCACCTCAATCTGACTCAGGTCTTTCAACACCCCTCCTAAAAACAGCGGTTCTGGAGTGGGCAAGCACTTCTCATTTTCCACAGTGAAGACAGAGGCAAAAAATGCATTTAGCTTCTCAGCCATTTCCCTATCATCCTTCAGTACTCCTTTTACCCCTTGGTTATCCAAGGGCCCCACTGCCTCCCTGGCTGGTTTCCTGCTTCTAATGTATTTGAAGAAAGTTTTATTGTTGGTTTTTATGTTTTTTGCTATATGCTCCTCATATTCCCTTTTTGCCTGCCTGACCACAGACTTGCATTTTATTTGCCATAGCCTGTGTTCCGTTTTATCAGCCTCACTGTGACTAGCTTTCCACTGCTTAAAGGAATCCTTTTTACCTTTTACAGCTTCCATTACTTTGTTTGTTAACCATGCAGACTTTTTCCTATACCTGTTTGTGCCTTTCCTAACCTGCGGAATATATTTCATTTTTTAGCTTCTAGGATTGTAGTTTTAAATAGTTTCCAAGCTTCCCCAATGGTTTTGACCCTTTCTACTTTTCCTTTCAGTTTCCTCCCCACATGTCCCCTCATATCAGAGAAGTTACCCCTTTTAAAGTTAAAAGTGGTTGTGTGAGTCTTTTTGGCCACTTCCCTATTTATACAAATGTTGAACTCAACAACATTATGATCACTGTTTCCAAGTGGTGCAATCACTTTTACATCTCTCACCAGGTCTCTTGAGTGTTACTTAGGACCAAATCAAGGATCGCCTCTCCCCTGGTAGGTTCCGTGAGCTCCATAGCACAGTCATTTAGAGTGTCTAGAAACTCAATCTCATTTCTCGACTAGAACACATATTGACCCAATCAATGTGTGGGTAGTTAAAATCACCTATTACAACAGAGTGTTTTTGTCTAGCTGCTATCTTTTGTCTAGTTGCTATGCTGACTGAGGAGACCCCTTCACACTGTGAGGAAAATTTCTGTCACACAATTGCCAGGCCTGATTAACACAAGAAAAACATCAACTCTGCCTGCAGCAGCAATGTATTGAGGAGGCAAAATCAGTGCTACAGATCATCAGGAAAGGAACTGAGAATAAAATGGTCAGTACTATAATCCCCCTGTATGTATCTATACCATGGTCTCATATGGAATACTGTGTATAGTTCTGGTTTTTTCATTTCAAAAAGGGTACTGAAGAAGTTGGAAAAAGTACACAAAAGAACAACCAAAAGGACCACAGAGTGAGCAAAATGATCCACAGTGAGGCGGTGGGTAGATTTCTGAAGGGGGCTTGTGTAACAGCACATAGGGAAAGCGGAGATTGGTTGGGGGGCTAGCATGGGGAATGGAAGGGGCTTTGTGTATGTGTGTATCAAGCTTGTCTTCAAGGTCAACTGAAGTTTGTTGGGCACCTGGGGCTTTTCGTTTAGAAAGAAAAGGTGGCTGAATGGTGGCAAGAAGTACAGAGCTCTGCATAGTGTCGAGAAAGTAGACAGCTATATGGGGTTTTCAGGTAGACAGGCAGAATCTCTGACTGCCAGATGCTGGAGAGTAATCAGTGGGTAAGGGCTGTTGTCTGAAGGCTCTACTTGTGGACTTCCCTGTGTGAGGCCATTGCTGGAAAGAGGATGCTATGACTGCGCAGTCAGACTGCAGGTCTGACATAGTGATTGCAATTTTGAGAGCTCTTTCACTTGAAAAACTCCCTGCAAACAAAAAACTGGCACAGCAAAGGAAGGTGATGTAGGAACTTTTTCCTTGCTGTGCCAATTGCCTGGAGTTTCAAAATAAAGGCGCATTCAAAATCCACTTCCAGTCTGCTGTAGCGCAGTCCATTCTGCCCTTTCAGCATTCTATACCTCATCCTCCTGTATCTGTCAACAAAGAGGAACGCCTCTGCTCATCCTCAGTGCCCTCCAGACATCTCCCCTCCCACCAACCCCACCCACGCAGCTGCACCTTCTGCTGTTTCCAAATGCAAACTGCAATGCAAAGAACAAACCCATGCTGCCCAGAACATCTTCCAAAACAGGGTGCTGAGTGGCTTTTGCCTACCTGTGAAGCCATCCAGTCCCATCCAGGCAGCTGAAAGGCATAGGCTGCATGGGAATATAGGGGTTGGGGGGGGGGATCTTTGATTTTTGCCCAGGGTACAAGATTTACTAGGACTTGCCATGCATTCAGTAGCCAGAAGAATATATGGACTAAACACTCTCTCTTCACAAGACTATTCTTTTTCTGGAGCACTCCTAAATAAATACCACTGTTTGTGTGTCTGTTTTAAGTGGAAAAGTTTCTCCTTCCCTTTTCCTTATAAACTCACCTTTGTGCAATATGGTGGGACATTGAGGATGAAAAGGGTACGGTTTGGAGGCCTGTTAGGATCCGTTTCGTCTCTGACTTTGTGCTCCTTCACATAGAGGTAGTGAGGAGATTGATGCTTTTCAGAGAATTTCACTGGGATAGCTAAAAGAAGGGATATTTTGTGAACAACAGACCATAACAAGAACTCTTTAATCTACATCAAAAACAAATAGGGCCCAAGATTATCCATATTGTTCTGTTATTTTAACAAGCAAGCCTCCTTTCTCAAGTTAGTAAAGGTAAAGGTTCCCTTGCTCGAAAGACAGTCGAGTTCGACTCTAGGGTTGCAGTGCTCATCTCCGTTTCAAAGCCGAAGAGCCAGCGCTGTCCGAAGACGTTTCCGTGGTCATGTGGCCGGCATGACTAAACACTAAGGCGCACGGAACACTGTTACCTTCCCACCAAAGTGGTACCTATTTATCTACTTGCAATTTCTTGCTTTCGAACTGCTAGGTTGGCAGGAGCTGGAACTAGAGACGGGAGCTCACTCCATCATGCGGCAACTCGGGTCTCGAACTGCTGAACTACTGACCTTCCACAGCCTGCAGTTCAGCGTCTTAACTACTTGAGTCACCGCAGCTCCATTTTCTCAAGTTACTAGCTTGTAATTTTCGATCTCTCTCACAACAAAGGTCATGGGTATTATCTGAAGCAGACAAGCACCTGAGCAATGGCAAAAGGCCAATAAACACAGGTTGTCAGGGAAAACTGCTTCATCAGCAGCTGCCACCACCGCAGGAGAATCTTCATTCTGAGACAGAGTTAAACATAACCTCACTCCCTGACATTTTGTGGTTGGCTCCACCTCCTGAGACAGCTGCACCCATCACCCTGTGTTCTAAAGGTGCTTACCAGCTCAAACAGGTAGGGGACCCCAGTCTAATGCTTAGAACGCATTCCATCCAGGTAAGAGGAACTCTAATCATGGTCTATTGCTTCAGAAATTTTTCTCCCCACCCTATTTCATTTCTGCTATCTATGCTAGAAGAGGAAAAAAGGGTTGCCGGGAAAGCTGTGGTGAGGTAAAGCAACGCAGAACAGTTCTCCTCACCAGTGCACATATTTGTTAGTATTAGTCCCCTTAACCCCAGCCCAGATCATACCAATCAACACAAGCAGACACAGGGAGAGCAAGCAAGTGAGCGCTTACGTGGGGGGAGACAGTTAAACTCCTCGCACTTAGAGGAGTCACCACCTGGAGCCTAAACCGGCGCAGCGCATTAACCAGCTTACTACATTAGTGAGAATTCTCTTTTGACCCACACCGTAATGGGGGGGAAACACAAAACCCCTACTCAGATTCCGCAAAGCTGGCAAGACCGTGGAAAACCCCCGACATTCACGCCTCAGTCCTGAAGAAACAAATGCTCACCTGTATACCCTGCAGGAGCAACACACGCTACACCTTTCCCACGCTTCCTCTTGGAAGGCGCCATTTCAGCGCACTAGGAGGAAGGCGCGTCATCGCCCAATTCCTGTTGCAGCAAAGCATTTTGGGGGCTGTAGTTTCCCGTGCAAAGGATGAGATGGTTAGACAGTGTCATAGATGCAACGAACATGAAATTGAGCCAACTTCAGAGGACGGCGGAAGACAGGAAGGCCTGGCGTGATCTGGTCCATGGGGTCGCGAAGAGTCGGATTCGACTGTGCGACTGAACAACAAAAGTTTCCCGTGTGGACCTAGGTTAGGCGGCCGAATCTTCTGTACGAGAAAGAGAGACGGTTGGAGGGTACGGAGGTGTCTTAAAAACTGCATGGTCAAACCTGACTGCATTTGAAGTTTAAAAGCAAGTCAGGCATTTTATAAATTGAGGACAGAATGAGTTTCAGTTTGGTTTAAACCTCTGACATATTATGGCTGAGTATTGGAGGTTTGATGTGCCTTTGTTAAAAAAAAAGCAAACCCATAGAAACTAACGACGAGAAAATGTCACACCCTCTCCTGTGGGCGTTTTGGTGTGGAGTGCGCACTCTGAGGATGAACGAGTCCCCAAGAGGTTGCAGAGAGACTAGCATTGACTGGCTACTTATCTTACCTTTTTAAGTAGTGCCTGCTCAGCACCCGTTGGGCATTTCCCATTACATTTCGGATTATTTTCCTTGGGGAAAAAATCTGTAGCTTTGAAGGAGTGGAATGTTATGCTGCAGGATTGAAATGTGATGCCCTAGACCGTTATAAGGAAGTGACTGGCGTGGTAATTTGGAGGCTTATGCTGAGAAAGAAAAAAATCATACTGATTGTAAACACTATCCAGGCTGCAGAGAGCAGTTCCCCTAGAGACAATGCAGCTTGGGAGGGTGGAGTCTACAGCATTATACCCGGCTGAAGTCCTTCTCCTCCCCAAACTTTGCCCCTGTCCAGCTCTACCCTATATTTTTAGGAATTTCCCAACCTTGTGTAGATACTTGACATGTACACTGAGCTGTAGCTGCTCTTACAGTTAGGCAATAAGAAAACACACTTACTGGTCTACTCAGTATTCTTCTGAAATCTGTTCAATGGGTCTTATTCCCAGAAAACGTTCTTAGGGGCTGCACTGTTAGGAAATTAAAATTGCAGCATTAATATTCTCACTGACACACTACACTTCTTGTTACTGTACTTTTCTGAACTGTTTCCCTTAAATGAACATTAATTCTCTTGTGATGATGTGATGCTAATGTCATCCAGCCTGTACAGGAAAACTAATTTATTAGGGTTGTTTTGAACTGAGCATGGGCTATTCATAGCTTTACAGTAAGGTCCTTCTACCATTAAGACAGCAGTCCTATCTATACCTGGAAATAAATCCCGTGGAATTCAGTGGGGATGTATTTCTGAGTAAGCATGCTTAGGACTGCTTTGTAATTCAGGCAGCCTTTATTTATTTATTTTTTAAAAAACCCAAAGCATTTCTATCTCTGGTCTGCCTCTAAAGTGTTAGCCTACTTAGCAAGTGTTTTTTCCTTAATCTATTTGCTACTAGAGCTTCCACTTGTTGCAATTTCCTTCTATAAGGAACTTTTTGATGTTGTTACTGGTAATGGAATGAGAAGATGGGAAATAGTCATGGCCACCAGAGGCTGCCATATTTGACAATTTCTGCCAATCACAATATCTAGGGGAAGCTAATTTCGCTGGCAAATAAGTGGTTTTGATCTATTTCTCTCTAGATTCGTATACTACAGACATTCAAACAGAACATGCTTCTCAGTTTCTGTGATCCCTAAACCACAACCACAATATCTATCTGAAAAACTTATTCCTTAATATATGGCCTTCAGAGATCATGGATGGGTGGAACATCTAATCTAATTGGTCACCTGTGTCTTGGAATTGTAAGGTTAAACAAGTATTTTGGAATTGTAGAGAGAGGTGGGATTCCATAAAATAAGTAGAGCAAATGTGTCTAGCCTTCCAGATGGTAGTATTTATATCAGTCTTCATAATCAACTGCTTGATAGTCTTATGGGCTAGGGGCCACCCTAGCTCAATAACTGCTTTCTCTGGGCATTGTATGATACTCAATTTTTCTATTATAGCCTGATTCCATGAACCGGATAAATTATCTTGTTTCATGTAATATAATAAACTATTAGGGGATTATCAGATAGAGATGTTCCGATTTTCTTGTTAAAAATGTGTGTTTTTTTATATCCTCTTGTAATGTCCACTGAAGTATACTGCAATTTTTGCAGTCTGTTAACAATATAATTTTGCTCTATTTCTTGCAGTGCACCAGAAGAAGTTAGCAATCGTAGTTCCACTGTATCTGGATGCATATTACTCAGGGGATTAATGTCACTTTCCCTAAAGGGATTAGAATCATCAGTGATGGGATCAGCTGAAGATGCAACTACTATGTTAATATTTTCATCTGTGATTTTTATAGGGTTGATTAGATGCTCTTCTAGCTTATTGGAACTTGGTCTTTCACCTTTAGAATTTTGAAAGGCTAAATGTCTAAAAGGACATTAGACACAACAAGCTCCTAATTAAAAATCAAAATAAAATAAAATAGGAAGAGTATCTTCCTAACACTTTAGGAATGTGACACAGCTTGATCCTGCCTGATTAGTTATCAAACAAAGCCAGCTAATTAAATATCAAAGCTAGTGAAGCTGAACTGAAAGGGGGGAAACTCCTTGAACAGCTCCCTGCCTTCCATTTTCCACTCCCAAAATTCCTTTTCTTCAATTACAATAACATAGTAACCAACAAAAGGAATCAAATACTTTAAAAAGATAACAGAAATAAAAGTAAGTAGAATAGACAAAGAAGATACAAAATAACCGCTCTGCTTGAAGCTGCCTACACTCCAACCAGAAACCAGAACTTTTGCTGGTAGTACTACTTATGTACCCCATGAAAGGCTTTGGTTAAAGGAGCTATAACTGCTTCTGATTTGCAGGAATATGAATGGGTATTGTGGAAGGTGTAAACAATGCCTGATTTTGATTTTGTTCTGATTTTATTCGAATTGCTATACCTGCATTGAAAATTGGTCTTATATTGCCATATTGTATAATGCTGGGACTGATGCTGTAGTTTCTAGACAAGAAGGATGTTTTTCATGCACATTCCTTCTCTTATTATCAACACCTCATGTAGCTGAAAAGATATCTTTTCCTTCCTTTCCCAAGCATAAACAAGCTTTGTGTATGGTACCAGTGAAGGACATAGATTAGAGAAGAAATGGGCCCCTGCTTTGAAATCGAAGGGAACTTTCTCAGGCAGGAAATTTATGTTTTTACAATATATTGAATTAGGGAAATTTTTAACAAGAAAATCGGAACATCTCTATCTGATAATCCCCTAATAGTTTATTATATAACATGAAACAAGATAATTTATCCAGTTCATGGAATCAGGCTATAATAGAAAAATTGAGTATCATACAATGCCCAGAGAAAGCAGTTATTGAGCTATATTGAATTAGGGAGATTAGGGTGCTTGTCACCCTTTGGTATGCTCATGAATACTTCAAGGGGTTCTTGAATACTTCCAAAAGGAAATCTTCTTGTCCCTTGTTATCTAAACACATTAACAATGTAATGTATGAATGTAAATGAATGTAATTGGACCCCAAATTGGGGTACGCCAATGAGATAATGTCAGCATATATGATGCCAATGTACCTGTTAGCCAATAACGTTTTTTATGGATTGTAAACCTGTGTGATGTCATTTTGGGTCTAAGACCTTCTGCCCTTCATGCTTGAGGAGAGATCAGCTTGGCACAATGGATGCTTAAGCATTACATTCTGTATCTCCTGTTAATTGCAATAAGCAGTTAGTTATCCAGTTCACTGGACTCTGCCTGTGTGTCCTCCATCGGGCCCCTGGGACACACGGGGTACAGATTTGTGCAGCAGTATTAAAGTGCCAAGGGAAGCTGCTGTAGGCTCTGATGAATATTGAGACAAACATGCAGCCCTCAAGTGGCACATCAGAAGTGAGTTCTCTTTGGACCCTTATCCCTGACTTTGGGGTACTGTAGTAGGATAAGTGTGGGTCCTGCCAAGCACAATTTAATAGATGATTCTGTTCAGCTTGTGTTATACTAAAGGTCCTGAATTTTTCAGCAAGAATTTCAAGCACTGTATTGCTGTCAAACTCTGTCTTTAGTTTGCCATAAGTGTAAAGGGGAAATTCCTATGGGGGGGGGGTGAATGGCTGAGTGTGTGAACTGCTGCTCTGCTCTCTATTGTAGGTGTCATAACTCTTTCCAAGATACCTCCCGGTCTAGGGACGACCTTGAGCCACACTGTTGCTATTATAGATAAAGAAGCAGTATATTCTCAGGTGGGGGGGGGCAGTAGGCGTGACTGCTAGGCATGTGATTGGATGCATGTAAGGCGGGGCACTGTTTAAACTGTCTATATCTTTGAATTCTCCCACCAGAACCTCAGTTTTTTTAATAAGTTTTATTTAAATTTTACAAAGTATATTCATACATATACTAGTATTTACATACATATATCCTCCAGGAGTCTATTAAATATTATTTTCCTTTATCCATTTATATATCCCATCCCATCTTTCTTGAAATATTTTATCAACTTTTCCTTGTAGAGTTACATTCAGTTTGTCCATTTCTGCCACTTTCAAGAGTTTCATAGCTAATTCCTTTATCGTTGGTATCTTTTCTTGTTTCCAGTATTTTGCTATTAAAATTCTAGCTGCTCTGAGAATATAAGTCTGTACGTATACCTCCTTTTCTTTATATTCCTTGGGAATCATGTTTAACAAGTAGATCTCTGGACATGGTTTTACATAAATATGTAACACTTCCATTATTATATTATTTACATTTTGCCAAAATCTGTATATTTTTCCACAATTTCACCACATGTGGAAGAAAGTCCCTACGTTCGTTTTATATCTCCAACAGTTTTTATTTGGTGTTTTATATGCTTTTGCTATTTTTTCAGGAGTCCAATACCACCTATGAAACATTTTGAAGATATTTTCTTTAAAGGATATTGCTCTCATTAATTTCATTGTTTTCCATATTTTTTGCCAATCATCAGTTTGAATAGTCTTTCCCAAATCTTTCATCCACATAATCATAGAATTCTTTATTGTTTCATCATATAAATATTCATCTAGAAAGAAGTTGTATATTTTTTGAATTAGTTTATCATTGGAGGAAAACCAGATTTTATCAAGCTCATATTTGGATTTTAAGAATTCCACAGTTTTGTCTTTATTATATCTATCTTGTAATTGTATTTGTTCCCACCATGTAAGGTGGAGGTTCTTGGTTTTTAAGTTTTCTATTGATCTTAATTTATTGTTTTCATCTAGCAATAAATCATATGCCATAGCTTTTTCTTTTAACATTAGTTTAGGATTTATGAACGATTCTAGAGGCGAGACCCATCTTGGTATTTTTGTATAATGAGTATCTTTTATATCCTTCCATGTTTTCATTAAAGCTGTTCTAATAATATGATTATGGAAGTTGGCATGAATTTTATCTTTTCTGTACCATAAGTGCGCATGCCAACCCATATACAGGTCATGACCTTCTAAATGTAATGTTCTCCTGTTTTCTAGCTGTACCCAATCTTTGACCAAACCCATAGCAGCTGCTTGATAATAAAGACGCCAGTTTGGTAGGCCCAAACCTCCTCTTTCTTTTTTATCTTGTAATATCTTTAAGGTAATTCATGCCCTTTTTGGATACCAAATAAATTTCCTTGTAATTTTTTCCAATTCCGTAAAATATTGATTCCTTTTTAGTATTGGTAAATTTTGAGCTAGAAATAAGAACCGGGTAGGATATTCATCTTGATTGTCGCTATTCTTCCCATTAGAGATAACTGAAGATCTTTCCAGATGTAAATCTTTTCTTATTTCCTCTCTTAGTTTGTTGTAGTTATTTTCTATTAACATGCTGTTTCTATTAAGGTTATTCCTAAATATTTAACTTTATTTGAAATTTGCATTTTTGTGGAGTTTTGGAGTTCATTTATTAATTCTTGCGGACAGTTTTTGGTTAGTTTTTTAGTTTTATTGAAGTTGATTTTTAGTTCTGCTATTTTTCCATAATCTTGGATTTCTTTTAACAAACATGGAGTTGTTAATAATGGTCTTTCTAAACACTAAATCATCGGCAAACGCTTGTAACTTATATTCTTCATCTTTAATTTTCAGACCTCTGATCTTTCCATTCTGTCTTATATTATCATTTAAAGTTTCTAATATAAAAATAAATAGTAGCAGTGAGAGTGGGCATCCTTGTCTAGTACCTTTTTGGATCTCAATTTTTCCTGTCACTTCACCATTCACTAGTATACTTGCCTGTTGATTTTTATATATTGCTCCCACCAGAACCTCAGTTCTGACACGGTACTGATCTAGCCTGGAATATAAGTATTCTTCAATAAACAAATCACTTACAAAGAGAGTGTTGTTGAGAGTAACTCTAGCCAGGAGTCTGACAATTGCTGAAAGTGATTATTCCTGCCTAACACATAGCCAAAAACAATCACTCTGACATTAGTACAGAAAAGAAAGTGAATGACACACAAGGAAACAGTTCTCATCTTTCAAAATTCCTTTTAATGCCCAGAAAATGATGACATTAAGCCATTAATGCATGCTTTAGGGTAATGGAGCAGGTTTGTTTCAGTACTCAGCTGGAGACATTAAGAACGTATGCAAGGGCACAACAGGCAATACAACAGCACAAGACTCTAAGTAATTGAAGCCATCAGTCACTTCTGGCTTCTACCAGTTTAATAGTTGAAGTTACCATTTTAGCAGCGTTTGACATCTACCACCTGGAACTACCTTCCCTGATGTTATTGTCCTGATTCTGCAACTCCTTGCCCCCTTCCTCCAGCTTCTTGGGTGGGAGCGACCAAGAGTCTTGGGTGTCTGTGTGCATGAGAGTTTCTAACCCTGCTTGTAGAGAACTCTAGCATCCCTCCTTCCTGTCCTTCAGGTAGCCTGCCACCAGCCAGACACTTCTGTGCTCCCTAAACTCTTCCAGTAATCTAACTCACTGGCAGTGGGGGTTCTGTACATGCACACCTGTGGAATAACTAGTCTCCTAGTATCAGGAAATCCCTCTAGCTCAGCTGAGTGTGTGGCCTGCCTGTTGTACATATTAGATTCCATGTCAAAAATGAAGTCAAATGAGGAGGAAGTTCTTGTATTTTATTGTAATGAAATACGGAAAACAGGCCAAAGAACCCATCAAAACTGATTGCTTTCTTCTCAGCATAACCAGGAAAAATGCCTCAATTAATAGGAAAACAATTAGACCAAATAGTTAACAAAAAATTGACAACTTTCTTCTTTTTCTTCTTCATCTTCTTCTTGAGCATATTCTGAACATATTCAGGAAATACATGATAATCTATACATGGACTGACATCATCAAGAAAACAATATTCAAACAGCATAATTGGTTAGAAAAGACAGTGGTGATTTGAGTAATAATCCTCTGATTGGCCAGATATAAAGAAACATATCTACGTCAAACTAAGTGTTTACTTAACCTAACCTAAATGATAATGGGCAAGGATTCTTCATATCAGACTAAAATCTTATCTGACCCAGACATTGAAAGGTTTGCCCTAAGAACTACAGAATCATTAACTTTGTACCTATTATGTTGTCTGCTAACAATATCAGACCTACAAGAGGAAAGCCTTGCATCAGGTTTCAGGCCTGATGCAAGCCCATCATTCAGGAACTCTAGCACTGCATGCAGAGGGGGTCATGTGGAATCAACAGACTTCTGTCTGCACCATCTATGAAAAGCCTGATTGTGGAGTCTTTCCTGGATGCCAAGATGGTATTTGTCACATCCGTCAAATAGCCAAGCTTCAAGTAAGAAGACCATTCAAGCTCCATATGGTCAGCATTAGTCGATCTGGCTCTGGATGCCAGACCGGTCCCTGGATGAGCATGTCCAGAGACACCGGGATTTGTAGTGGAGGAGACTCGGATAACTGTTGCGGAGTTGAAAACCACAGATGACAAGGCCACCATGGAGTCACCAGAAGAACTGTGGCCTTCTGTTGTCGTATTTTTCTCAGGACTTTTGGTAGGATGGGAGTGGGAGGGAAGGCATACAATAGTCCCCTGGGCCACTGAGTGGTCAGGGCATCCGTGACTTCCACCCTGTTGTGATGGAACCTTGAGAAAAATCTGGGGAGTTGATTGTTCACACCCGAAGCAAACAGATCCACTATCGGAGTCTCGAAATGTTGTAGTATCCAGCCGAAGGTCTTTTTGCTCAGCGTCCACTCTCCTGGGTCTATCATTCATCTGCTGAGCCAATCCGCCTTGATGTTGTCAAACCCTTGATATGCTCGGCTCTGAGTGAAGCTAGGTTTCTCTCCACCCAAGTTAGAAGTATCAGAGCTTCTTTGTGGAAGGCTGACGATCTGGATCCCCCTTGATTGTTCAGATAAGACTTGGCTGACACATTGTCTGTCCAGACTAAGATATGTTGTTTCCGAACACTGTCTTTGAAGTGAAGAAGGGCCAGTCGTATAGCTCTGAGATCTAATATGTTGATGGGCAGAAGAGATTCCCTGTGGGACCAGCGCCCCTGCACTGGGCTCTCGTTCAGGGTCGCTCCCTAACCCTTGGAGACTGGCATCCATGAAAATCTGTAGCTCATCTTTGTGAAAAAATTTCTTTCCTTGACGAAGATTGGAGTCCTTCATCCACCAACAAAGAGACTGACGTAGGGACAAGGGTACCTGTAGTAAGGTGTCTTTCTTCTTCATGATTTGAAACTGATAGGGACGAAGACAGATCTGTAGAGCCCTGGTGTGTAATCTGCCCCACTGGATAGCATCCAGATTGGAAATCAGGAGTCCCATAACCTTGGCTAAGGTCATGAGTGACAATGTTGGATGTTCTATGATTAAACTCACCGCTTGTTTTGTCTTTGAGATCTTCTGTTCTGGTAAGTATAGAGTGGTAAGTTTGGTGTCGATCAACATACCCAGATGTTTCAATCTCTGGACTGGGTCTAGTGAGCTCTTGGCATGGTTGATCAAGAAGCCGTGCGCTTGAAGACACTGTATTGTCTCCTGAACGTCCTGAAAGGAAAAGTACTGAAGAGGGGGCGTTCCCAATCCACACAGGAAGAGGAAGAAAGAATTTTGTTCCCGCCTCTCCCTGATAGGATGGTGGGAATCACCCAAGATGTCCTCTGCCTCAGAGGGAGAACTGTTTAAATTACCCACCAAGGTAAGCATAGGGCTAATCAGGCAAAAGAGATACAGCCAGTGCCCTCCTGTAATAAAGGAATTAATTGATAAAATATTTTGGTTTATACTTCTGATACTTGTTTTCTTATAGCTTCTCAGACACCATAAAAAAGCACACCTGCACACAGAAGTATACTGTGTCAGAGATTGGACTAGGCTGAACACCACCTGGGAATATTCCAACATGCAGGCAGCCTTTAATGAGACAGTCTAGGAACAAATGCTAACATTTGATTCTGTTGGTAGGGTCAAAGAAAGGGCATCCAAACTTCAGTGGAAAAGTTGCCCTCCTCCATTGATTTACTTTTTTGTTTCCTTGCAGTGTAAAGAAGTGATGCAGACTCCAGTCTCTGTATAACAAATGTTTATTCAGAAACATAATACATAGTGTCCTCCAGCCCCAACCTTCCCTTCCCCTGTAATTCACCATTCCAATGGAACATAGCTGTCTGGGACAGGGATTTGCAATTCTGTACACACATAACAGTTCTCCAGTTCACGAACAGCATCTCCCAAGCAAGGGTGACATTATGACCAGACTGAAATGAATAATCCAGATGATCAAATCACACTGGAAACAAATCTCCTTGCATGTCCTGGAGGGTTATGATGGGACGTGACCCGATGAAACGGATTGTACAGATGAAAAAGCAGAAGAATCCATAGAGCGGCAAGCTCTGCTATGAAAGTGATCTAATCACACTACAGGATTTCAGCACAGATGAACAGAGGGCTAGCCTTGTAGCTGGAAGGATAAAGATTTAAGCCCCCACCCTAATTTAAAAGTAGCTTTTAGTACCCTTGGCTTGGCTTGAGTTTAAATTAATGCATCTATTTGAACTGTTGACAATTCTGTTTCCACTGGGTAATGGGATATTAACAAAAGGGGGAGTGCATGTCTCCTAGTGAAGACTGGCAAGTCAGTGAAAGATTCTGGATGGACCAAAGTGCATCCTTCTTCCTTGGAGTTTGGTTCACTCCCTACTTCCCCTTCCATGTTCTGTGCCAACTGGGCAAGGTCTCTCACTATCAACGGCATGTGGCACTTGCTATTTTCCAGGACAGACAAGTCAGCAATAGTGCAGTACAGCAGTACCACAGTCTGCCCCAAATATAGGAGAGTGTTAAAGGATGCCATTTTCACTATTGAACAGTTCTCAAAAGCGGGAGGTGGAAGTTGTTTCTGTGACCAAACTCACCTCCAGCCAGAGTGAGGAACCTTTGCTGTGGGATGAGGGAAGGCAGGGTAGGACAAGGAGAAGCCCCTGAAAGCAATTCTAACAAGTCTAGAAGTTTGTCTCCCAGCAAGGTCCATGAGCAGCACACACAGGCATGAATCCAGGTCTGTCTGAGCAAGCAAAACAAGGGCCTGCAGAGCTTTTAAAGCACAATGCAAGAGAGGTGGACTGCTCTGCTCCTTCCTGAAAAACTGAAGGTGGAGCAGGAGTGCAGGCACTTTCTCTCCTGCTCAAATGGTCGAGATGGAGGGGTGCACAAAGTGAAAAGGAGTATTCTACTGATAAACAAAATCCCATGCATCCAAAGGATGAGAAAGCAGTTTTGTGACATCTTCAGACTGAAGATGATGTCAATGTTGGGAGTGGGGCCCTTTCTTCTCTTGCTAACACATGTTCAACACAAGCAGGGAGAGAACAGAAGTGTAGGGCATGCCATGTTCCCGTACCTATACATTCCTCCCACTGCCTGCACAGCCCCTTCCTTCTTCACTGAGGGGCTGTCTTAATTGACTATGGGATGCTGCATGAATGTAATTTTACAGTTTTAAAACTTGCTACTGGTATTATTAAGGGTGTGGCAGTCCAGCACCACACCTGGTCTCATCCCTAGACATTGTTGCACTGAAAAATGAAATGAAGTTTTATCACCAGTCAAAAGTAAAGGGACTCCATCTCTCACTCAAAAGATGCCAGCCCAAGCAAGATGCTGCTTGTGCCCTTTTGCCAGATGGCACTTTTCCTGGCTGGCTACTAGAGGACTGAAACAAAGGAAGGAGTTGTATGGTCTAAGCTTGGTGCTATATTTCTCACTGGAGGAAGGGAAGATTAATCCTTTAGAAATATGCGGGCAAAAAACTCCAACTATGAAAACAGAACACATATATTAGGGACAGTACTATTGTACAGGAAGGTAGCAACTGTAGAAAAACAAAGGTCTCCGCACGGTCAACTGCAGTAACAGTTGTGTTCCTGCATACATCTCCCTATTTCCCGTGCTCAATAGGTTTTCCAGTCCACTTCTTGCCTTCCACTCCTCAAAGTTTGATTTTGAACTCTGTAGGCTGCACAGAGGCAGAGATCCCTGAGGATTTGAAGAGTGCCTTCAAGATGGTATCAGGGTCCACCTCTGCAGGAGGATTTGAGGAGGCGCCTACACTTGTTCGACGTGGTTCACCTTCTTTCTTCACTGAGGGGGTGTCACTTAATCGACTGTGGGAAACAACAGAAAACAGAGTTAAATTCATGACAAACTCACTCTAGCCTCTTTGTTCCTGTGCCAAAATAACCCCTTGGTACACCGAGGAGCTAAAGAGTTTGAAACAGGAGCTACTCACGGTGATCCATGCAATGGTCACCTCCAGGCGGGATACTGGAACTTGCTCTACCCAGGGCTTCCCTTGAGGTTGATCCGGAAAATGCAACGGATCCAGAATGCAGCTGCAAGGGTTCTGACAGGAACGCCTTTTAGAGCGCATATCCAACTGGTGCACTATCTGCTGCACTGGCTCCAGTCTGAAAACCGGATCAGATTAACAGTTCTAGTGCTAACCTTCAAAGCCCTTAATGGTCAGGGACCAGCATACCTTTGGGACCACCTCTCCTGGTCTGTCCCCAGCAGAGCATTATGCTTGAGTGACCAAAATCTACTGGTGGTCTCTGGGCCCAAAGAGCATTTGGCTGTCCTCAACTAGGGCCAGAGCCTTCTTGGCCCTGGCCCCAGCCTGGTGGAACACTCTTCTGGGAGAGACCAAGGCCCTGCGGGATTTGGTACAATTCTGCAGGGCCTGCAAAACAGAGTTGTTCCGTTGGGCCTATGGTGATAGGCCTATCTAAGTTCTGGCCTTCCCCTCTTTCTCACTCCCCCCCCTTTCCCTTCTATCAGATGCCTGTACATTGCCCCCCATAGGAGTTTTTATGTCATCTTGAAATTGTATTTTATAGTATTTATTGAGATTGTTTTTTGTACCACTGGAAAGTTTTTAAAATGTATGTTGTATAAATTGTTGTCACCCACTCTGAGCTGGTCTTGGGGAGAGTGGGATATAAATAGTATAAAATAAATAAAAATGGCAAGAAAACAAAATGCTGAGCTGAGCATCCAAGTTTATACTTTTCAGTGGTTCCCAGCCAAGGTACCGCATAGCTCATTTAAGCCAAAAGAAACGTTCATGGTATTTAAATTATCCAGTGTCCTGGGCAGAATAATGCAGAACAGGGAAACTCAGCCACCATCTTTTGAACCAAAATTCTCCTTCTGATGATCAAAACTAGCTGTCAGAGGCTGGGAGAAACCTGATGAAACCTTAAGCAGAAAGTACAACTGCTGCATACGCAGCTCAAAATCTGTGTGGCAAAAATGGGAATTTTTAAGAGTAAAATGAACAGACAGAGGCTGTTATCTCCCTTTCAGACAATCCACTGACATTTTGCTACAGAGCAAGGTATTCTATGATGTCCCTAAGCAAAATACCATAGTTCCTTGAACATACTTACAGCAAGATGGGTTGGTCAGATGTGATGATATTTCCATTCATATGAAGGTTGCATTTCATTGGTTGCCCTGGTGAATGAAAACAAAGGAAACTAAACAGTCTAGCATGGAAAGAAAGTATTGCACCCACTTTTTAATCACTCCTACTGAAAGTGGAGCAGATATCCAAAATAATGGTTTCCCCTCATAGCACACAATCACCTCTGACTGGCAGAAGGACAAATCATCAAATATCAGTGATCAAACAAAGCAGACTGGAGTCTGCATCACTTCTTTACACTGCAAGCAACAAAAACAAAAACAAAAAAACCCCCAAAGCAAGATGCAACGTACAGGGCGCATTTTCAGAAGGCAGTGCACCACTGGCCCAGTAAAAGTTTGCCCTTTTTTACATATCAAAACCAGCAACAAGGTACATTATATTTTTCAGAAATGTTATATAAAATGGCACATCCCTTTGTTTTTCTTAACAGAAAGGTGAATCACAACCCACTGATATATTTCATTGACAAATTTCTGTCCAAATGAACTCCTTTTGTGTGTATCTGAGTTGTCTTTGAGAAAGCCTACTTAAGATTTAAGGGCATATATCCATGCCCTTAAGCAGCACAGGAAATACTTTACTGCCTGAATTGAGATTTCCCTGAAAAATGTTTAATGTGCAGCAAATGCTGATCATAAAATCCTAACTCAACAACCAAAAGCATAAACAGAAATCAGTAAATCAGTTTCCACAAAATGTAGGTAACTTTGAAGAATCCAATGTTATAAGAAAATATAGTATCATGGAAGATGGCTTTATAGCTGGAAGGAATTCAGATTAACCTTTGTGGAAACCAGCCATCATCTTAGATTGAGGCTCAAGATTCCAAGGTATAGCTAAAGGTCCTAGTTTTTAATCCAGAGGTGCTCCAATCAGGTAGAAAGCAAAGGCGGGGGGGGGGATTAAATACACAAATGGAACACATGGGGGAGGAAGTAGTGAACTCCTGCCCCATCCTCAGATCCCCAGCATCCCCCTCAACCAGAATCCTTTGTGAACTTTGATATTCAAGGGATGACAATTTTTATTTATTTGATTTATACCGTGCACTCCCCACCGAGACAGGCTCAGGGATGAACTTTGATATTCTTGGCACTGTAACCCAGACTACACTTCAGTGAAAAGCATAGTACCTGTGGCAGAAACTTGGCTACCTGTTTGAGAGTTCAGGTCTGGATGCCTACTTGAGAACCAAAGCCTACTCCTTTGGACTGGCTATTGTTTTCATTACTTAATAGAACAAAATAAAGTTGAAAGTTAAAGCAATGCTGCCATGTTATTGAAAGCTGAGACTGAGGTGAAAAGGGGACACAGAATGATCCCAAAAAAGCTTGCTTTCCATCCCCAGCATGGCTTCTCATCTCCCCCCACCCATTGTAATAGAAATTAACAAAGGACACAAACCCTAGAGCCCAATTATTTCTTTCAGAAAATATATTCATAATGAATATCTCTCCTTTTAGTGGCTCAACAAAGGCTTCCAGCATAGGGCTGTGTAAAAAAAAAAAAAGTCGGCATTTTTTGTCTTCGGATATATCAGACCTGAAAAATATTGGTAAATGTGAAATTTCCCCAGTCCAATACTGGTAAAGTATTGGGACTGGGGAAATATTTGGTATTGCTGAATATATTTGGGTCTTATATACCCAACTGAAGGGAAGGGAGGCATGTTAAAATGCCTTCTTTCTCTCTGGAAGCCGCTGCAGCTTTCCTGGTTGATTTCACTCCCCCCCCCCCCCAAGTCAGCCTTAGGTTTAAGCTATTTAAACCTAACAGCCGACTAGCCAGGGGAGTGACCACAGAGAGCCTCCTCTCTCTGCCTTCCCTTCTCTACCTGCCCCAGGGAAGCTAGAGAAGGGCAGGCAGGGAGCCCAAGCATGTTTCCACGGCTACCCTTGGCTTCCCAGCTGGCCTGCCACTGCGGGTTGGCTGGGTAAGCATATGGAAGGCATTGAAACATGCCTCCTTCCCTCCCTGCTGCTGCAGAGACACTCAGGGAGGGAAGGGAAAATCAGCGCAGGCCTGTTTAAATGCCTTTCTTTCCCTTCCCGAGATCTGCCCCTGCGGCACAGCTGAAGAAGGGCAGGCAGGGAGCCCCGGCATGTTTCCACGCTGGCTGGGGAAGCACAGGGAAGGCATGGAAACACGCCTGGGCTCCCTGCCTGCCCTTCTCCAATTGCCACAGGGCTGTGGAGAGGCTGGAGAAGGGCAGGCAGAGACAGCGCAGGCATGTTTAAATGCCTTTCCTTCCCTCACTGACCTCGGGGAGGGAAAGAAAGGCATTAAAACATGGTTGTGCTCTCTGCCTGCACTTCCCCAGCAGCCCTGGGACAGCTGGAGAAGGGAAGGCATAGAGAGGCGGCTTTCCCTGGCTTAAACCTAAAAGCTGACTGGCGGGAAGTGAAATTGACTAGGGAAGCCACAGGGGGAGGGAAGTCTGCATTCAATTACCTGAAAGCCAAAAGAGCCAAATAAATTTGGGAAACTCTATTTGGTAGCTGAAAAGTTTCCTGAATTTGCATTTGGCTTAGGAATACCGAATAAATACCAATAAGGCATTTATTCGGTATTTTTTTCGGCTATTCCAGCACATTCAGGTAACCAGGCAAAGGTCTTGACAGAGTGACCTTCTAGTCCTAACGACTGTGCTTTGACAAAAAGGGCAAACTTCTGATACCTTCCCAAACAGTGTAAACATTGTAGCTGCATGCTGAACACCCAACAATTCCTGAAAATGGTCTCTGGGCCTTCCTATTATGGCCCCTCTTCCCAGGTTCTGATAAGTTCTTAAAACAGTTAATACATCAGCAGTACCATCCAAGAACTCTGGTGGGGCGAATGCTACACTTACCATCCAAGCACCTGTTGTTGTATTTCTTATATGCAGTGATGGCATCCTCCTTTTTCACAAACACAACCTCAGCCATCCCAGGGTGCACTAGACGGGCTCGCTTCAGAGCACCACATACACAGAACAACTCCTGCAGAAAGAGCAAATAATTGTATTTATTACTGTTGCTTATTACCTTTAAGAAGTGCATAATGTAGGCCCTTCTAAGAGCTTCCACAGTCAGAAGTTATGTAGCTACAGACTGTGGAGAGGGCCCTTTTCTAAGGTGATGCCCTTGTTGTGGAACACTCTCTTCTACTGTTGTTTTATAAAAACAATTTTATTCACCTAGGCCAGAGTCCCCCACATAACACCTGTGGGTGCCATGGGGCCCACCAAGTGTTTTTAGAAAGTGAGTGGGGCCAGGTGGGACTTTTGCCCAGCAAGGCTTCTGACTGCCCATTGGAAATTGACTGACTGTGCAGATTTTTAAAAAATATTGTTTGACAGCAGCTGCCAGCACAACACAAGGAGGAGAAGGGAGAAGGAGGAGGAGGAGATTTATACCCCACCCTTCACTACCCGAAGGAGTCTCAGAGCAGCTTACAATCTCTTTTCCCTTCCTGCAACAGACACCCTGTGAGGTAGATGGGGCTGAGAGAGCTCTTTCGAGAACTGCTCCTGAGACAACAGCTCTGAAACAACTTATAACTGACTCAACGTCACACCAGCAGCTGCACGTGGAGGACTGGGGAATCAAACCCAGTTCTCCCTGATTATAGAGTCCATGCTCCTAACCACTACGCTAAACTGGCTCTTCACTGTGTGACTGAAGGTAAGATGTGACAGCCATTTTGTGGCTGGCCACACCTCCTGTAGCAGCCATTTTGTTTCTGCACCCCCCACACTGTAGTAGAGATGGGACTATATAGATTTTCCCCTGTTTTGATTATTCATATTTCTCTGGTTTTTATAGATTTATTCTTTAAGTAATATTTTATTAGGATGTTAGAAAGGCCTGTTATATAGAAGGCTTTCCTCTTGTAGGTCTGATATTGCTAGCAAGCAACATAATAGGTACAAAGTTCATGATTCTGTAGTTCTTAGGGCAAACCTTTCAATGTCTGGGTCAGATAGGATTTTAGACTCGTATCAGTAATGAATACTTTTGTTTGGGGAAGAACAAGCTTTAGCCGATATGCCTTAGGTCATGTCAAGTAAATATGTGACGCTATTGCATAGAAACACCTTACTTACATTTGACCAATAAGGAGATTTTTATGTAAATGTTGTTTAAGCTTTTGTAACCAATTATGCTGTTTGAATATTATTCCCATGATGATGGTATGATGTCATTTTAAGTATTTAACTTTATGTATTTCCTGAATATGTTCAGAATATGCTCAAGAAGAAGAAGAAGATGAAGAAGAAAAGGAAGAGTTGTCAATTGTTGTTTAGCTATTTGGTCTTATTGTTTTCCTATTAATTGAAGCATGTTTCCTGATTATGCTGGGAAGAAAGTAGTCAGTTTTGATGGGTTCTTTGGCCTAACTGTTTTCCATATTTAATTACAATAAAATACAAGAACTTCCTCCTCATTTGACTTCATTTTTGACATGGAATCTAATGTCTACAACAACACTATGTCAGAATTCAAAAGAAGCATGCTGGCTTGAAAAGGTTGGGGACCCCTGACCTAAGCCATTAGGGGTTTGAGTTGTTTTGCTATCTTTGCTGGTTTCCTTTAGTCCTAGTGTGTTTCAGTTACCGTTTTGAATTTTTATGATACTTCAGTGTTTTGATACAATCATTGCATTTTAATGCTTGTATTAAGTCGTCTATTGTAAAATTTAAAATAAGCAGTTTTACAGATTTGAAGGACTTGGCGTGAGACAGACACATGCTGGAAATGCATGCAGTATTAGGGATCAAGACCATGGCAGTGAACTGTTCTTTTTAAGCATCTCTCCACTGCAGGGGATATCCTGCAAGCGAAGTAGACTAGTTCTGCCAGCTCAGCACAAATGTCAGGATTAATTCTGTAGGACACATTCCACTTCTAATGGAGAACTAATTCTAGAGGGGTTGTCTGTTGTGTCAAAAATAAAACAAGAATCTTGTGGCATCTTGAAGATTAAAAATTATTCCAGCATAAATTTTCACGGACAAGAACCAAGTTCTCCAGATGCAATGACTGGATCCTCATTATGAAGTTATTTTATGTAGGGGGCGTGTGTTTAAAATCAAGCATCAGGGTTAAGGGGCTATGAAATGTAGGAAAATACATTACATAATGCAATTACCTAAAATTCAAATCTAATTAAAAAACCCAAAATGAGTATTCACCAGCTAGGTTAGTTCACTAGTTAACACCTGCAACAGGTACAGAGTCCAAGGTTTTTCTAAGATCGTTTACACTAACAGTGACTATTGTATTCACTTCTGAGGTGGCCTTTGACCATAATAATTTATGTACTGATAAATACTGAGATAAAATCCCAAGTCAGGGGGAGGGGATAGTGTGAAACTTCTTAACGTCCCAATTCAGCAATGTCAAACTGGAGTCTCCCTTTGGAGTTCTTCTGTTGAAGTACTTTTGAGGCCAGTAATAGAGAGGCCTGGGAGACTGAAATATCCCTTCCCTTGGTTTCTAAATATTATGATTTTTAATGTCACACTTGTGTCATTTTATGCTTTTGCATAGGGACTGACCTATTTGTCTTCAGTAGAAGGGCGCTGTTGACAATATGATGGAATATATTCACACAAGAGGATGACCAGTGAATGGAGTACCAGATTATCCCTGAAGAAAGCATGCATCCCAAACTAATTTACATTTTAGGAATATCTTATTTATTTACTTATTTAGGATATTTCTATGCCTCTTTTTCAGAGCCCTGCTTGAGGCAGCTTACAGTTAAAACCATGCCAACATACTAAAAACAAGCTATTGGACATAAACAGCATTAAAAACTACCCCAAAAGAGAAACTAACCATTTGAAAAACTGGTAAGAGAAGCCCCCTAATTAAAAGTCTGGGTAAAAAGATGCATTTTTAGCCTGGCAACTGAATGAGAGTAAAGCAGGCACCAGGCGAGGCTTTGAGGGCAGGGCATTTCCAAGAGGAGGTGCCGCTACAGAAAATGCCCTGGCTTTAGTCCCCACCTACCTCAGCTCTGAAGGTGGGGGGGGGGGCACAAAGAGCAGGGCTTGAGAGGCAGGCTGGAGAGTACAGGAGAAGGCAGACCTTCAGGTACCCTGGCCCCAAGCCCTGTATGGCCTTAATGGTCAGAACAAGCACTCTGAACTGTGCTCAGAAGCAGAGGGGTAACCAGCGCAGATCATTCATCACAGGGGTACAGGAAACAGATCCATCCCGGCCTCCAGGCCTCGACAGTATGATACTCACAACAATGTCTTCCTCTGTGACTCGAGGGTGCAAATTATTCACAGTCATCTTGGTACCTTCTAATGGGCTGAAGGCCAGCTGCCAAGAAACAGACCAATGTGTCATATGCAGAATGGACAGAAAGTACGCAACAGGTGAAAACAGAAAACTTAAGACTCTAAGGAAGAGGGAAACTGATGAATGGTAAGGGCACGAATCAGCAAAGTTTTGTCTTCACAGAATTTCCACTGTTTTGCATGATTCCTGCTAACCTCTTATTCTCTTCTTTCACCAAACATGTGCCTTGCAAACATGAACAGGAAGCACTCTCTTGGCTCTCAAAACTCTTATCAGCTCAAATTACTGCTGAAGTGCACATTAAATGCTGCTCTTAGTTTAGGGAAAATTAAGTGCAGACTTGTTTGTTAGTAAGGAATCTGTATCTGCCATGAGGGGGGCATTTATTTATTTATACTTTGGATTTATGAAATGACCAGTCCCCGAATGCACAGGGTTCTGGGCAATTTACATCAATAAAAATAATTAAACAACATAATTTCCAGTTAAAATACAATAAATATAACAATACAGGCTTAAAATCATTCCCCAAATGGCATTAATAGACAACCTTTAACCAGTTCTGGACCGGGTTTCCACCCCGCAAGCAGGGCAAGGAAGAAAAGGGGGGGGGGAGGTGCCAGCCATGTTGTTGCTTGTTGCTGCCCTCAACCAAAAGCCTGGAGGAACATCTCTGCCAGGCCCCGCAGAATTGCATTAGGCCCCACAGGGCCCTGAGGTTATTTGGCACAGAGTTCCACCAGGTGAGAGCCAGGGCTGAAAAAGCCCTGGCTCTGGTTGAGGACAGCTAGATGTCTTTAGGGCCAGGGATCACCAGTAGGTTGTTCTCAGCAGAGGAACCAGAGGAGGCGGTCCTGAAGATATGTAGGTCCCAGACTGCTCAAGGCCTTAACAGTCAATACCAAAACCTTGAACCTGACTCTGTACTCCCCTGGAAGACAGTGTAACTGGTGCAGCACAGGCTGAATATGTGCCATCCATTACGTTCCCATCAGGACTTGCACCGCCACATTCTGGATCAGTTGGAGTTTCCAGGTCAGTCTCAAGGGCAGGCCAGCACAGGATGAATTACAGTAGGCTAGCCTGGAGGTGATCGTTGCATGGATTACTGTAGTTAGGTCAGGGAGCAACAAGAAAGGGGCCAGTTGCCATGCTTGGCATAGATGGAAGAATGCCAGGTTGGCAACATTCGTGACCTACGCCTCCATAGATAAGGAGGTATCCAGGACCACATCCAAACTCCTGACAGTTTGTGTTGGTGTCAGTGGCACCCTGTCAAGGGTGGGAAGTCTGTGTCCCAATCCTGAGCCCCCTCCCCAGCCACAGAACCTCTGTCTTTGCTGGGTTCAGTTTCAGCCGGCTCTTTTTAAGCCATCCCACCATGGCCTTCAAGCCCATTGCCAAATTATGCGGGGTGGTGTCTGGGCGGCCATCCATTAATAGGTATCGCTTGGTGTCAGCAGACTGAAACTCCATACCAGATGGGCAAGGGGGTGCACATAGATGTTAAACAGCACTGGAGAGAGGGATTGCCCTGAGGCACCCAACATATTAAGGGGTGTCTAGCTGATATCCGGGCTGCGGTGGCACAGAGGTTAAGATGCTGAACTGCAGACTGGAAGGCCGGTGTTTGGTGATTTGAGACCCTCGTGCTGCGTGATGGAGTGAGCTCCCATCTCTGGCCCCAGCTCCTGCCAACCTAGCAGTTCGAAAGCAAGAAATTGCAAGTAGATAAATAGGTACCGCTTTGGTGGGAAGGTAACAGCGTTCCATGTGCCTTGGCGTCTAGTCATGCCAGCCACATGACCATGGAGATGTCTTTGGACAGCACTGGCTCTTCGGCTTGGAAATGAAGATGAGCACTGCCCCATAGAGTTGGATTCAACTGACTTTCGAGCAAGGGAAACCTTTACCTTTACTAGTTGACGTCCTCTCACCCAGAGCCACCCTCTGCCTCCAACCAAAGAGAAATGAGGAAAGCCATCTCAGCGATACCCCATGAACTCCCACGTTGGCAAGGCAGTGCACTATGAGACTCCAATCAACCATGCTGAATGCTGCCGTGAGATCGAGTAACAGCCGCAGCACTGACCCGCCTAGATCCAGCTGTCTGCAGAGATCGTCTGTAAGGGTAACCAGCACTGTCTCCATCCCGTGGCGGAAACTGGACTGGAATGTGTCATCCAAGAAACTCTGGAGCTGCTTGACTACTGCTGCCTCAATTACCTTACACAAAAACTACACATTTGAAACTGGGCAGTAATTGGAAGGAGCGGTAGGATCCAAGGTTGGTTTTTTTGAGAGCGGTAACCACCTCAGCTTCTTTCAGACCCTCTGAATAGACCCCCGTCTCCAGGGACAGATTGATAATGTCCATCAGTGGGCCCCATATCCTCCCATCACCAGCTTTCACCAGCCATGAGGAGCACGGATCCAAGAGGCACGTGGCTGGTCTAACAGAACCCAGGGTCCCGTCTACATCAGCCTGGGAGAGTCAGCTGAAGTTATTAAATACTGAATCCAAAGGCAGCCAAGGGGCCAGTTCACATACTGTATCTGCATTGAGAGGTTGGTTGCGGCGTGGCAACAAGACTGTCCGCTAAAAAGCTCACAAATGCCTCAAAGCTAATAGCTGAATTACTTATTTTGGATCCTTCACTCACCTCAATTGGTGCAGGCTCTTCAGGGGGCTCCTCCTTGGTCACCAAAGTTCGGGACATGTTTGTCAGGGCCTTCGTCCGAATGGGGGAAGGTGGAGCTGGAGGGGCTGTATAGGCATCATTCTGGACCACTTTTGTGAGGGGAACAGTCTTTGACAGAGAGAACTTGCTGCCACTGAGCCCAGCCTACATAAATGGAGAACAAAACATCCCTGAATGTTTTAAGTGCCAGATCTAGATCCTCTTCCTCTAAGCAGCCAAAGGCAGGTGCATCATCTCCCATTCTAGAGAGACTGAAGCCCAGGAACAAAGTCAATGTGGTGAGAGAAGGACCTGCACCTGCTCAACCCCTAACCGCCAAACTTCACTTACACAGACAGAAATGCACTTTGGATAACTGTCTTTGGATAACAACCGTCTGCATCAGAAGTGCTTGCATTTCTAGAGCACTCTGAAAGGGGAAATATTTTACATTGTGTACACAGATATGACATCAATTATAACCATTTAATTTGACAGAATGGAACAGATATCCCCCTCCTAGAAATGCCACAGAAGTAAAGCTCTTCCTGCAGAAACTCTCTGTCAACTTCAAGGATGACAAAATATTTTATTTACATCATTTATACCCCACCGTTTCCCACGTTGGGGACCCAAAGTAGCATACACAATTTTATCCTCCCAACAATCCTGTGAGGTAGGTTAGGCTGAGAGTGCATGACTGGCCCAAGGTCACCCAGCAAACTTCCATTGCAGAGTGATTTAAACCTGAGCCTCCTAGATCCTAGGCCAACTCTCTCTCCACTCCACCACAGTGGCTCTCAGTCCCATATGATTAAACAGAATTTGAAGAAGTCATCTTGCAACAGCCCCAACGGGGCAACCAAATTCAGAATTCGTGTACCAAAAAAGTATGTTTTGCAGACTCCAGTAATTTCAAAAAGTGGAATTACACAATCACCAAATTGGGGGGGGGGGGATTAAAGCAGCAATTATGAAGTTAAAAAAACCTACAGAAGACATTTGAAACACATTATACAAGAAACACATTTATCTAGGTAATTAGCATGAGGAAATTACTTTGCTCAAAGAATGCCTCAGCTAAAAGAGCCCAGAGAAAAAAAAACTGCAGAACTATAAGAGCAGTTCTTTAATACATCAGATAGTTTGCTATGCTGGAGGTAAATGAATATCATTCACCTCTGTGACAAGTAAAAACTGCCCGTGATCAAGCTAAACTGTTCTTCTCAAAGAGCTTACTGACTCTTAACAGAAGAAGAAAGCCCTGCAATGGGGTCCTGGCTGTTTCCAGATGCAGCCCTCACCCTTTCTGGGAGAAGAGCAGTGACCAGTCTCAAGTTGTTAGTGGGGCTGTCCTCATTTCCAGTAAAGGCAGAAAAGAGAAAGCCTCAAACTGCAGCTTTCTGGAAGGCTGAGCTGTAGAGGCACTGAAGATCCAGCACAACCCAATGCACATTTTCTAGGAAATAATCATTTTGCGTTGCATAGGACTTACTCCCTGGTAGGTGTGCATAAGATCACTACTTACAAAACACTGGGGGGGGGGGGGGGAAAAGGGGGGAAAAAACAGGGAGAAAAGGACAGCAGTGAGGGGGGATCTAAATGCAAGAATGGCTAGAATACAAGAAGGAAAGGGTAGGATTTTTTTTTTTTACTTTACATGCCAGCGAGACCCACTAATTCCTACCTAATGTGTATGATACAAAGCTGTTCATATTCTTTGTGAAAGAAAAATATTTCACATGGACCTGGGGCCATCTCTCAGTGCATACATAACAAGCATTTCCCATCACAAAACAAAAGAAGAAATATCTACACTGGCAGACTTCATGCATGCAAAAATTCAATGTTGCAGCCAATATATTTAGTATGGGAGGTTAATTTGGAAAACAAGAAAGGGTCTGCACTGAGACTATTAACAAAGTATTTACAATGGTTTGAAGAAAGGGATAAAGTGTAGAGTATGCAGGGAGCATTAAAAAGACAGTTAGGACATGACCAACAAGGTTTTAAAAAATCTTTCAGAAGTTACACACCTAGATTTTGAAACTGCCAAAACAATACTAAGTGTTTCGATGGCTTGCATCACACAGGAAAGATTTTGATAATATGCTGAAAATGTTATCTCTGTTTACTAGTCTGATCGCAAAGGAAAACAGAACACCAGAAAACATAATGCTCCGAAAGGAATCTGTTCTGGACTGGACTGTGCCATTCTGACTGACCATTTCACAGTTTTAACAGATGGAGATACAAAAGTGGACAAGGGCAATGATGAGAAGGAAACAACTTCAGTACCGATGATAGAATTAGGTTGCAACCCACAGCCTATTTCTGTCAAGGTAATTCCATTAAGCTCAGTAGCACTGTTTCAGAGGAAGTCAACTGTAGTCTTCAAAAATAAAGGCTTTAGCTTAAAGAGAAGTAAGCAGCACATGAACTACTGAATCATAAACTGGGCAAATAAAGTAGCTAAGACAGACTTCCTCACCCATTTCTGTCCCTCTCCCCCCCCCCAAAAAAAGATGCCCCCGTGAAAAATCAAAGGGAAACATTATGTACCTGTGAAGCAGACCATAAGGTTTAGTGGTATACATGGTTAAGAATCCATGACAATCCATGACTAAAGGTCAAAGTGAATTAACAGAGCAGGATATGTCATTTCATAACTCACCTGGAAAGCAGCCTGTACAAGGCTCTACTGGGAACAAGACATTATTCTACTGCTAATGCCGAATATGATGACCCAATACAGATTTTTTAAAACCTACAAGAAGGCGCTGCCCAGATAGAGGAGCTTTTTCTGCAAACCTGGAGAGATCCTCAGGTTTGCAGAAAAAACTTGTACTGACATCACTGCCAGTGTTCCCTCTAAACTGACTTAGTGTGAGCTAGCTCACAGATTTTCAGCCTCTGGCTCACACATTTTTGTCTTAGCTCAGGAAGGATGGCTCCAGAGCAAATTAATTTATGCAGCAGCCAAATCGCTCGCTCACAACTTTAGTGCCAGTAGCTCACAAAGTAGAATTTTTGCTCACAAGACTCCACAGCTTAGAGGGAGCATAGACACTGCTTAAGTGGGGGAAAAGGAGATCTCTCATCATAGTGTTGTGAGACTTGGCTATCATTTTACGGTGGCCTAACAACCCTGCTAAACGCTGCTGGCTTGGGGGGCAGCAGAAACAAATGGCCATGGAAAGGTTAGAGAAGACGGACAACAACTGCCAGGAAGGAAGGCCAGAGCAGAAATAGAAGGGCTGGAGGGACAGAGCACGAGGTAATAACAAGCAGGCTGGGAGGAAGCGGAGATGGGAATGGAAGGGTTGGGTGGAAGAAAGGCAGGGGGTGGGGGGCTGAGCAAGAGATGAGGAAGCGGGAGTAGTGGGAGGTGGAATCTATCAATTTTGGACTGCAAGTAAGAACCAGGAGGCCACAGATGACCAAAATCTTTAAGTTCTAAAATTATTTTCAAGCAATTCAGAAATAAGATGGTGCAGGTTCAATACTGATCCTGGCCTGGCCTTGATTAGCAGAAGCCAGATTTTTGCTCGGCTTTCCCCACTTGCCTTTGCCTCCATTCTTGGCCACACTGATGCCTGCTGATCAGTAGCCTGAACAAGCATGCAGTACAACAGAATCTAGAAGCAGCAGGATAAAATGCCCAAGCAATAAGGAGGCAGGAAAGCAGCAATGAGGAGACAGGTAAAAGAGAAGGCTACATTTGCACTCCGCAACAGATGCATATGTCTACAAATTCAGAGGGACACTTGTTCAGAGGTAAATATGGAAATATAATTAAACCCAATTGCGCAGCGCCACAACACATACATGGAAAGAAATACAAGGCCAAAAAGGCTGTAATAATTTGTTCATTCAGTGCATGTATACAGCATGTCAGCATTCATGCGCACATCAGGGGCTTAGGTGGGGATGGGGTGGTAAAAGAGTGAGCAACTGAGACAGAGCCTTACTGCATTATGAAGAAAGCTGTTTGTGGTAGTAATTTTCATCTGTTTGCTAGGAAGGGGGGATACCGCTTCATCTTCATCTTCCATGTCATACAGGCACTAAAAAAATAGCAAATAAATTATTTAAGTGAAAGCAGTTTACTTGAGATTTCTGTTTTTCTAAAATGTGAGGTAGAGAAGGGCACTTGGCTTTCATGAGGTAAGCTGTTAAATAACTATATCATCTGGGTCCGTGATGTCCCTTCAGAATGGTCACACACACATCCATTCCAGTGCTGTGGCATATACAGTCCTACTAGCTTCCAGGGATTTTTCTAACTTAAGCAATGAAAACATGCATGTATCTTCTCTGAAGCAACATTTGCAACCTCTAAAGGCACAGGGCTTCCTATCTGTGCCCAATGAACAGTTTCAAAACAGCTCAGTCAGCTTACATCAAGTATCTCTCAGAAGTCCATTATGGCTAAAACTGCTCACTGATCTCAACATCAGTTTCTCCTGGATTTGTCTCAGCACTCAGCCAGCTAGTGCTGGTCTAACCAGCCTCTCTGTCAAATGAAAGCAGGGAAGTCAACTGCAGCTAGAGGAAATATGACAGCCTGCCCACTTGGGTCCTCTGTAACTTCAGAAAAAGATCAGCCAATGACACCGAGAGAGGCAGGGCAGAGAGGATACTGCAAGTGTGAAAAACACTAGCAGCAGAGTACAGAACTAGGGAGGAAGGTTCCAAAAGTATTCACTACCATGACAACGATTTGTCATTGTGAGATATGATCCTTAGTGACCTGTCTGAATGAACTGAATACAGACAATATCTGAGCCCATGTCCTATAAATATATAACTTACACAAAGCAAGCAAAGGTTCAAATCATTTGCCCATCTTATAAAACAAATGTAGTTTCTGTTCAAAACCTTCCTGGTGTTCTACAGTAACTGAGTATTTCTCACCCTGGTAATGAATGACACGCACCTGTTTGTGTGTGTGATTGTTCACAACATTGATCTTCATACCTGCAGGGTGAGAGTGTGATGAAGCTGCAGCCTTCTGCTGTAGTGGGGGGGAAAGTTACATAATTAACAACAGAGCACATTTTGCCTGACCTCAGTTTATGGAAGAATATAAGACTCCTCCAGTCTGCAGTTTATGACTATAAGCAGCACTGGACCACTCTGTACCAGATTGTTTCATCCTTAAGAGGTAAAGTGTAACCTTGCCATCCCTCCCTTCCATGCCACATTTGACTGACATGAGGGGTAGACATTGACATTAAAAGATACAAAAAAGTATGGAAAAACAATATTACAATAACACTATACTGGCCTTTCTATTCTGTGTAGAAAGGGACTGTATATCATGTAATAAAAACCAATTATATAATGCTGGTACAACTTCTTACATATACTCAAGAATATTACAAGCAAATTTATTCTGTATTTCCCCCCAGTAATATTCAAACACACTGTACAAGTATTCCATGCTAAAAAAAAGCAAGTCGATAGAATCAACATTAAAATAACCCCCATATTTAACTTTGGGATAATAAATGCAAGTATGATCACAAGAGAGAAACAATTTAAATTCTGGAGAAAGTACCAACACCAATTTCAATATGCAGAAAATCCATGTGGCAAGAAGAACTGGGATATCTATGCTTGAAACCTCAGATTTTGGAATAAAGCAAAAATCCAGAACTCACATGCATGAATTTATCACTCTTAAAATTAAACTACATTACTGCTTTCCTCAATCTGTTCCCTTTGAAAGACATGGAGCTCTCTAGCAGCTGACAACCATAACCTACTTGAATGGTTTTTGTGAGCTTCATGGCAGGGGCCACTGTTTCCATGGCAGTGTTTAGAATGGCTGCAGCAGGCACACTCCTTTTCAAGCTGATCTTCTCCCTGGCATCAACAACCTTGGTCACCTTATCACTACCTTGCTGCTTTCGAGAATTGAGCATCTCTCGGGCATCCTGTACTTTCCCTTTGATTTTGAATCTGGCATCTTTTTGAAGCAGTTTCTCCCGGGCATCTTTCACACCAATTTTCTGTCGGGCATCAGTAACGCCAATCTTTTGACGTGCATCAAATGTCTGCTGGAAACCAATACTTGATGCTGGCCTGCCAAGAAAAGTTTGTTGGATTCCAATTCGGGATCTGATACCACCAAATACTGGCCTGGTGTTCAACCTGGAATAGAAACGTCAAACGTTATGTGAGATGCAGCATTTCGACACAACAAAATAAAATACGACAGCCAACTCCAAACCACTCAAGGAAGAGACTGTGGAGATTTTATCATCTGAAGTGGAACTGAACAGCATTAATATACATGCAATGGAAAGGACAGAGCTGATCAGAGAAGAAGCTAAGTCCTGTAAAGTAGCCGCCAAACGCATACAATTGTACTTTCCTTTTAGCTCCTTACATAAAATCACATGCATGTTTTACTCTGGCACAGAGCAGGGGAAGGAACTGTTTGCCCTTCCTCACTCCCCAAATTTGGAATCCAGATTCCTGTTCCAGACCTGTACTAATGGAGACAAGACCAGTGAAGTATTACATTAAACTTATGGAAAATGACAAATAAAATGAGATTACTGGGCAGCTGGAAGATCTAAACACAATCCAGCCAGCTTAACTAAGAAGTCCACAGAGTTACTTTTCATAGACTGGAAAGAAGGTGCATTAAAATTACCTTTCAACCATGTTTCAATTAACATCTTGGCCAAATCCTCTTATTTAGTCATTTCACTCAAATGGCTGGACCCTGGCAAAAAGCAGATCTAAAAATATGGTAGGTACCTGGTGATTTAGGAGAGTAAAAATTTGATGCTCAATTCTTGAAAGCATTTAGGAATTAAGGATATTTGTTTAGCCCTGTGCAGAGCTAGTACCTCAAAATCTGATGTTGGTGCCTGCCACAAGACATGATAAGTGTCCCTATGGTCATCACAGTAGATGAACATAAGGTGACATTTACCTTGGTGCTTCGCCACAAAGGTACACAGCTCTGAGACATTAAGCAACCTGAAGACAAAACCCCTTCACTGCAAACAGTTCTCTACTGTCAAATGATTAGCAGCAAAATCAGCAAAAAGTGTCATTGGTAAGACTGTCTGGCAGTGCACTCTTAGAATGCTTGCCTAGGAATGTTATAAAATCTTCTTTTATTGTGCCTCACAAGGAGACGGCTGGACAGGCCCTTTGCTCTTAGGAAGGGAGCCAGACTACATATACTGGTGAGATTCCCCCCCCCCCATCCCAATACCACTATCCAAATATGATATATTATAGGTTTCCCCCCCTTCAGTGTCATTGGGCTAAATAACTGTAGCTGTGATAGCAATATACATCAATAGTTAATTACAGGTTACACCCAGGCCTTAGGACACATGGAATTATTCAACAGCCAGCCTGGTGGCATCCCAAGGAATTATACTATACAACAGAAAACTTAAGGACAGATATGAGTAGAAAGTTCTTGTAGGTGTTCAGGGTAAATATCCATGGGAAGGCAGGGTCATACATAAACTAGGCCCTATGCAGAGTACTTACAATCTATACTAGATAGGTAACAGTAGTGCAGGGAGGGAATAAATGAAAATAAATACATAAACTGACAACAGAAAGATGGATGAAATCAAGCCATTTATTGCATCCACTCTGTCTGTCAAGCCAAATTTTAGATTACAAGCTCCTCTTAATAGGGGTCTGTCTTCTTGATTTCTGTAAAATACAGTTGATGACACAATGGGTGCATTCAGACGCGCCGTTTGATCTGGTGTCATGACAGTTCAGCAATGGATTTTATATGCATGATCACACAGTCAACATCTGCCTCCCATCCCCAGCCATTGGTTTCCGGCTCAAAACCCCTTTAACCTGGAGTATTTTGTTACCAGATCCCAAAGTGGTGTTTTCTCAGCTCTCCCCCCTGTGTGATCGCTCCTCCGGTGTCAAGCCACTTCCGGTTTAAACCCCGCTCGAAAGCTGCCCAAGGCTTCTGCTTTTCGACCGCCATTTTTTAAATGCGTTGGCGGTGTAAGCATAGGCAGAGCTCCGTTACTGTGTTTAGAAAACCAACATTGAAACGGTCACTTGTTTTAGAGTTTAGATGAGTTTGGGATCTCACAGAGGCCATTTTCCGGTCAAACGTTTAAAGGGAAGTCTTTTGTTGGAGGGGTTGGATTGATTCACCCTGGCGGTTCTGTGCATGTGCCATGGTAGTTTAGCCCCCCATTCTATGGATGAGCGCCTATGCGCATGTGGAAACTGAATTAAAAAAAAAAAACGCCAACACACGCTCCTGCACGCCGGTAGCATAGATGCCGTGGAGCGACGTGACTGCGTGGTGAGGCGGGATAAGGGAGGTAAGTGTGATCATGATTATCCAGATAAAATATAATCTGGTTAGAAGTGGAGCAGTTTAACCCACTCTCAGCACGCCGTCTGACTGCACCCCAAAACATTCCCTAACATTTCCCTGCATGTTGTTCAGCTAACACAGATGATAAGAACTCAGAGTAGGAACTATATCATGTCTGAGCGGTTTTTTGTTCCCAGCATGCAGGTGTCCCTTAAGCAACAAAGAGCAATCTGACAAACTGGGGAGAGCACTTTAAGCTGAATGAGTGCCTGACAATAATAGACAGGGACTCTGCAAGATGGAGATACCAACATTAGGAGAGAGAGAGAATAAAGTTTCCTCTGGGAAAATGAAATAGTGTGGGCTAATTTTTCAAGGACCCAGAAAGGGGACAGGCAGGGGTAGCTCCACTACCCCAGCAGGCTCCGTAAGTACGCAACGTTAAAGCACTGCCAACGACGGAAGGCTCAAGATCGGCACCACCGCAGCATCCCTTGAGACACTGCGAGAGCCGCACTTCTGGGACTGTACAACTGCCCACTATTTTGGGGAAGGGCGAGAATCAGATTTAGGGAAGGATCGAGAAAGGGTCACAATCTTACTACAGACAAATTCACTGTCAAACCCCCCCCCCCCCCCCATTCAACTATCACATCTCAGGCTCCAGGCGCGCACAAGACGAGCTCGAAGACCCCACAGAGCCAAATGCTCCACCGAGTTTAGAAGTGACAAAAGACGTAACCAGTCAAGGAACAGCGTGCAGCCACCGGGGGGGCGGGGGGGCTGCCCCTCACAGAACTCGGACCGGCGCTGCAAGCAAGAAAGGGGCTGAGAGGGTCGCTAACTGGGCCCCTCCCGCGAGCTCTGCCAGTCGCTCCTCTTTTCCTCGGCTCACCTCCCCTTCATGTTTACATTCACGCCGCGCTTCCTGATCAGCTCGTCCAGAGACAAGTCCGCCATATCGTCGCTAGGCCTGGAGACAAGTCGCTGCGACCAAAGGCCGGACATGAGATTTAACTACTTCCGGTCTCAATCTACCTTCACAAACGGCGGCGGGGGGGGGGAGAGGGTGAAAGTCTCGCGATTTTGTCCAGCAAGCTTCGCGGGCGCGAGAAGAGAGAGGAGACAGCGAGCGCCGCAGTAGCTAAACTCCCATAGTTCCTCGCGGGGACGTCATTTGCATACTCGCCGAAAGGGCGTGAGTGGTCATTTCTACACCTCAAAGATGCCTTTTCCAACGTTTATTTCAGAAATAACAGTAAGAGGGGACTTACAGTTATGTTCTGAAACGCCTGTGATTCTCTTTCATCACCTAAGTTTGCTCATCCTGACCTGAATAATAACTGGACGCTTCCACATGACTTCCCTGCGCGTGCTACGGTTATGCCTTAAACTTATGAGTAAGGAAAATAACGATCCGGGGTGACGCCCGGATCCTCACTGCTAATGTGAGAAGAATTTTTGAACGGGTACAGGTCGACCCTATGGTGACCCGCCTACTTAGTGGGATGCCTCGGTGTTTGATCTGCCCGTACCCTTTTTTGGAAAAAATAATTACATCTAGCCAATGATTCTTGCTTCTTTTATACTCCCTGACTCAGGCAGGTAACCATTGATTGAGTTTGTTTTTTAGGTAGGTTGCAGTGTTAGGTTGAAGCAAGAGTGCGGAAGGGTGTGTGCACACAAAAGCTCATACCTTGAGTAAAACTTTGTTGGTCTTAAAGGTGCCACTGGACTCAAACTTTGTCCTAATGCTATTAAGTTTAGCATTTATGTAAATAGGAAAAAAAGTTAAGAGTCCAGTGGCACCTTTAGGACCAACAGAGTTTTATTCAAGGTATAGGCTTTCATGTGCATACACTTCTTCAGATACAATGAAATGGAAGTTAACAGTCCTATATAGGTAGGTGAGCAGTAAATTAGCATACAACATGATGATGTTTCACAGGTTCAAGGACCAAACAGGAACAACAATCTTAGTTTATATGGTTATCATTTGTTTGGGTTTACTTCTGGGGGAGAGCATAGTGAAGGAAATAAATGTCAAAAATGGAGATTGATGGGCAGATGTATTCTTAATTGTGGAATGCTGGGAGTAATTAACTGAGACCCTGCCATTACGTTCCATCTTCTTTCCAGCAAGGAGGATTTAGCAGTATTTGTTCTTGGGATGCCACTGCCATGTCATGATGGAACTGCCTCTGCTGTGTTAGGGCGTTACACATTCATTTTTTAGCAACTTCATAGGTGAACTACCAACAAAAGTTGTCCAGCATAGGTGAACTACAACAGAAGACTGAATTTTCTCTGAATAAGGGAAATCCTTTGGAGGCACCTATCAGGCCTTCTTCAAAAGAGGTATAATCATTCCCAAATTGCTGTACCTACAGCCAGTTGTGTGCTATGCACATTTACTAACCTATCTTTACAATTTTCACACACATTTTTGTTTTCTAGCTTGCCTTAATAAAGGCCATTTCCTGTTTGGCTATAATTCTTATGTGCATGTGCAAGCTTTAGCTGTTTATTTTCATTCCACTTCAGTGTAAATCAAAGGACAATTTTAAGCACACCTAAAGATACCCTTAAGGGAAATTATTTATTTGTTTGTTTGTTTGTTTCTTCAAACTTACACCCCGCCCTCCCCGCAAATTAGCAACTACAAGTGATTATTTTGGTTCCTTTTCAATGGGAAAAATACCAGCAATATTAACATCTTTTCTCCCATATATAAGCTACATATATACATTTAGTGACATTGTACAGTTGAATGCATTCCTGTTCTGGGAGAGCAAGAGGGTAATAGGATGGAAAGAAATAAAAAACAATGCATTGACCATTATTTATTTATTTATCGTATGACAGTTACACACAGGAAGCATATAATATAAAATATGTAATGTATGCAGACCGATTGGGCAATCCCACTAAATGCTTCAATCCACGCAATCACAGCTGGGGAGAGTTCAGAGCTCTGTCACATCTCCCTGGAAAGCATGATGCTCACATTCCTATGATAGATGGAAAAGTTTGCCAGGCTGCGCCACAATCACATTTGGGTCCTGCTACCTTGCCCCTTTTAAACAACAGGCCTGCATAACTGCCAAAGCCTGTTCGTATTCTATTAGCCACCTTCCATACTTTACGTGGCAAGTCAAGTACTGCAGGCTTCTTGTTGATGTTTATCAGGTTATGGATATCGGATGGAACTGATTGTATCTATGTTTGCAAGCATTCATTCCCTTGATCAAAATTTTGTGATTGCAGGATTTGTGCAGATCTAATTTTGGGTGTCGGGATCTGTCTGGATAGGCCTGCGTCAGCCATGTCTTTGTGGATGGGCAACTGTTTTCAATGATCTTTCTATGTTCACGAAGAGCATCTTGTTTTCGGAGAGGTGGGGGAGTGATGTGGCACAATGTGAGTAGCCGGAGTGGGCTTAGTACATCTGCTGATGGTTCTCATTATTGTACTGAGTTGGACATAAAGTGTGTGGATATGGGGGCTGTTGAGCCACACTGAAGCACCATATTCTGCAGTACTATAAACCAACCCCAAAGTGGAGCATCTTAGTGTTGTAGCATATGCACCCCAAGTTGTATCACATAATTTTTGAAGAGTTGTTTTGCATGTATATTTTCACTGCTACATTGGTAAGATGGTGTTTATAGCTCAAGGTTCTGTCCAGGATAATGCCAAGGTGTATGGTTGTGTTTAAGTTGGGTGCCATTAAGGTAGACATTCAGTTCACAGTTGGCAAGATTGCTGAGATGGAAACGGGAGCATTCCGTTTTTGCTGGAATTGGGACAAGCATGGGACATTAGCAGATAGTATACAGGAAGACACAGGCAGGAAACAAAGGCAAGCAGTGGTGTGGAACAATGAATTGGAAGTGTCATCTACACTGAACGCTGCACCTATACATTCTTTTGGTACTGTGGATATTAGCTGTGACAAAACAGGGCCCCTGGGAGATCTTCTTCTTCCATGGGTCAAAAGTAAAAAGGCATGAGGACAGAGGCTGCCATTCCAGGATTTACCTTAACCTCTGCAGCCACTGACAGTTAAGACTCAAACAGCTGAAATCAGACAAAGCAAATCTATGCGGTACCTGTCTAACATTCTAGCCTTTATCTCCACTACCCAGTGTCTATATGTTTTATCTGAAGCTGAACCAAATGGTTACAGGAGAGTCTGAAAAATGCAATTTTGAACCACATCAGAGTACAAAGGTCAAGCATTTTAGGACATATTACCAAACAGTCTGCAGAAGTAATGTTTTAAACAAATATTGTGTAAGAATTTTACCTTGCCACAGAATAGATTTAAGTATAACTTGAGTTACTGCTAGTTTAGGACCTCTTAAAGCTAAACCAAGACCTATAACGCCACACTGGCAAGATTTATAGGATTGCTGGGATAGTATTTTCCTAAGGTAAAAAGCTGGAATTTGGTACATAATTCAAGACTTCTGTTACCCAAAAAATCCAAAACAGAGGACATCATAACAGGGGAACATGAATTGTAGTTCGTGTTATTTTAGTACTAGCTGGAACTTGATGGTCAGAACTGATCATATTGGGCTGAGCTGATGCAGGTTGTTTGCCTCTTACCATTGGCTAGCTGAGAATATACCAAGTCAAGAATGTTGGGCTGTGGGAGTTCTATTCCCCATTCACAACCTTAAATCAGTCTTGAGGGGATTTCCAGGAACAACCAAGAACTTGTGTTTGATTGCAGCATCCACATGGGAATGCATATATTCTCACTCTCACACACAAGTTCTGAGCTACTGGAATAAACTTTCAAACAGTGAAATTAGTTATTCAGAACAATTTCATTAGCTGCCTTTCTACCTTGTGGTACTCAAGGTGGCTTACAATGTTAATAAAATTATTATTAAAAACACATAAAAGACCACAACATAAAAATCTCCAAAAGAACTGCTAGTAAATAAAAACTAAATTACTCAAATGCAGTCCTAAGTAAAACTGCCTTCACTGCCTCCCAAAGATGGAATGTGAGGGGGCCAGGTGCACCCTATGGAGTCTCTTCCATAATCATGGGTCTGCCACTGAAAAGGCCCTTTCTTGTGGGTCCCCCAGACAGGCTTCTTTGATTGGTAGGACAGTCAGGAGGGCCTCTCCTGTGATTTTAATTTATGGACAGGAACATGTGGGAGAAGACAATCCTTCAGATAGTCTGGTCCCAAGCCATATAGGGTTTTAAAGGTTGAAACCAACACCTTGAACTGGACTTGGGAGCACATCAGTAGCCAGTGTAATTGCTGTAGTATTGGGGTCCTGGTAGCTGACCCTAACCAGCAGTCTAGAAACAGTGTTCTGCACTCAAGCAGAGTGCATTGCAGTTGTTCAGTCTAGATGTAACTGAGGCATGGGTCACTGGGGCTAGACCTGACTGAACCAGAATCAGACACAGCTGACACACCAGCCAAAGCCAGGCAATAGCATTCTGTGCCACCTGGCTTGACACAGCAGTCCCAAGCTGTGAACCTGGCTTTTCAAGGCGAGTATAACTCCAACCAAGACTGGAGAAATCTCAAGTCCCCAGTATGCCTTTCTGCTAAGAGAAGAGCTGCCTGTCAGGATTAAGTTTCAGGCTGTTCACCCTCCTCCAGCCCATTACCGACTCCAAGCACTGAGCATTCTCAGAATTAGCTGGAAAAGGTAGAGCTGAGTATCATCCATATATTGGTGACACCAGTCCATACCTCCTAATGACCTCTCCCTGCGGCTTCATATAGATATTAAATAGTGTGGCTGAATATATCAAACCCTGCAAAACCCCACAGGTCAATGGCCATGAGACGGAGCAGGAATCCTCCAACGTTGCCTCCTGAGACCTAGCCCCACCCCCCCATACAGCACTCAAACCACCATAATGCAGTGCCTCTTAGTCCCAGCGCTAAGGCAGTTCAGTAGGATACTACAACTGATATTATCAAAGGCTATTAAGACATTCAGTGGAACTAGCAGGGTCAGATTCCCACATCTAGTTCTTGATAGAGGTCATCAGCCAAGGTGACCAAAACAATCTTTGTTTCAAACCCTGGCCTGAAGCCAGATTGAATGGGTCCAGAGTGTCCCTATTAGGCCTAGATAATATGACCTAAGAGCAGTAGAAGAACAACAAAATCAGTTTGCAAAAAAATCATTAATATAAACTCCTCTAATTCAGACAAAAAATGTACCAGCCTTTAAACAAGTTTCTGAATAAGCATGCTCTGGGCAAAAAATTTGAGGGATGCATAGCCCCAACTCCAGATACATCATTGTATGTGCATTCAGAGAGGCCTGAGTCAGCTTCAGTGTGCTTGCATGCTTACCCCCACCCTAACCCACTGACCATGACTGAAGCCTTAATTGTGAGGAGGGAGTAGGGAACACACAGCTATTACACTGGACAATACTGGGTTGGTTTATTTTTATTTCTTTTCTTTTTTTTACAATTAAGGATGTGCAGTTAACACCTCACAAGAAAAAGCAGAAAAAAGTCTTATGGGGAAAAAACAAGTATACTGAACACATACCAATCAAATGGTACAGAGATATGGGGATGGCTTTGATTTCAAAGTTTCAACAGAAATTTAAAAAAAGGATGAAATGCAACAGCTGTTCAATTTCCAATTCTAAATAGGCACTGTAAAAAATAAAATAAAAAAACACATTTCTGCTTTCTCCAGAATATGTCCCCAATCTAAACATACTGCCAAACATCTGGGATTCTCAAGGAGCAACTGAGAACCCAGCTTTACAATGATAATAAAAGCTTGGGACCCACCCACCCACCCTCTTTAAAAACCACTCAGTGCTGCTGTCTGGACTGGAGGAAAATTAGAAGATTTTATAAAGGTTTGAAAGCATCCAAGGCAAAGAGCACAATATAGTTTGTTCACTATAACTTGTATTGAAAAAGGAGAATAAAACATTGAGATCTACATCATGGTACATAAAAGTGTTGTCTTGAAGAGAGATTTTGTGAAAATAACATTTTACAAGTTTGTTGTAGGGAAGGGGAGGGGATAGGACATTGCTTTAGCTGTCACCAATTGAGAGGGTCGATTCAAACTTCATTATAACCATTCGCATACACTGTACATCTACCCTAGTTGGATCAGTGTGGATCTGCTCACTGGTGTCCCTTTGAGTAACTGTAAACTAAACCACAGTATGCAACTCCATAGGAAGCTAAAGGATCAAATGAATGTACAGCCAGTTATATTTCCCCTGCTTCACGCTCCTCTGAACTCCTTCTGTCTTCTGATCGGCCATTAGCACTTTCATAGGAACGCTTCCTGTCTTTGCAATCTCGGTCTTTAGGCGATTTCTCTCTGGAGCTCCTGTCTTTGTCATGTGATGTTCTGTTATGGTCTCTTGACCGTTCTTTGTCTCTGGATGATCTTTCTTTTGAGGATCTGAAAAAATACAATCCATTTGATAACTTACATTACTTCTCTTTTCTTTTTGTATACTTGTTTAGCAATTTAGAAGTCAATTTTTATCAGAGCACGAGAAAGCAGAGACATACTGCACCATTTCCAGAGTCAGAATTGGGAAAAGTGGAGTTTAAACTGAAGAGTTATGTAGATGATGTAGTCCTTACAATTTCGAACCCCCAACAATCTCTCCAACATGTAATGGAGCAAATTGACAAGTCTGGATCCTTTTCAGGGTATAAAATCAACTGGAAGAAAACCAAGATTATTTAAGAATTCTCAACTATCAAGGAGATTAAAAAAATTTCAGGATGTGACGTAACAAGCAATCCAGGCAAATACCTAGGAATATTTCTCACGGGACAGAAATGATACAATATTAAAGGACAATTACATGACAACCTGGTTCAAAATACAAAACGATCTTGAAAGATGGTCCAAATTACATCTATCCTGGCTAGGAAGAATTTCTGCTATAAAAATGACTGTACTACCAAAATTAAACTTTTTGTTACAGATGATTTCAATTCCAACTCCTGAAAAGATTTCGAGTGACTGGCAAAGACAAATAAATAAGTCTGTATGGAAAAATAAGAAGCCAAGAATAAGATTTAAAGTATTGCAAGACGAGAAGAAAAGAGGTGGTCTGCCAGTACCTAACATTAAATTATATTATCAAGCCACTGGGCTAGTTTGGATATCAGATTGGATTAGAAGTCTCAATGAAAGACTGATACTGACTGATTTTGAAAAGATTGTCTCACAATCTAAAGACCATTAATTAGGGCGAATCTACAAGTTATTGCTTCAATCTGGTTCTGAAGAAGAACAAGTGAAACCCTGCATAATTAAATGGATGCAAAATTTCGGTGGGGAAATATAGTTTCAATGTTGGGAAAATCTATGAACTAAAGGTATTAGATTCACTGCTAGCCAAGCATTAAGAGAAAACTAGTACAAGATGTTTTACCGATGGTACGTCATTCCAAAAATATTGCAAAGATGGATAAGAATTACAAAGGGGCCTGCTGGAAATGTAAAAAATAAGATGGCACCTTTTATTATATGTGGTGAACCTGCATCAAGACAAAAAGATACTGGAAAAATATACATGAAGAAATTCAAAAATATTCTAAAAACCAAAATCCCAATGAAACCAGAGATTATGTTACTGGGAATCTTACCAGACAGCATAGACAGAACCTCACAAGACCAAGTTAGATATATGTTGACAGCAGCCAGAGTACTATTTGCAATGAAATGGAAGACAGAAGACTATCCTACAGTAGAGCTCTGGAAAGAAAAACTAGCTGAGTATGCAACATTGGCAAAACTAACCAACTATATAAACAAAAGACCACTGAAAGAATTTCTACAGAAATGGCAAGCTTATTACTCACATTATGGGAATAATTAATTTTTTTTAAAAGTTCTGGAATAACCTGAATATCATATTAAAGGTGATGAAGGTATTGATTATAGTTCCAATACTTGATTCTGTATTCCACTAGTAATTAAATAATTAGTAAGAATAAAATTTAGATTTAGATAAATAATTAAGACATATTAAGGATTTTACAGTGATTCAGTTTTAGCACAGAAGTTCATTCAATTGTTAAAGATGTAATTTCTTTTACTGTTAATAGATTATCGCTAACCTTAGGAAAGTTCTTTACTCTTTAAAGAGAGAATCTATCCCAAAATTCTGTAATATTGATGTTTTAATATCTGCTTCTATATATGAAATATGTAATATATCTGATCTTATTTGTTGTACTTAACAATTCAGATTATTTGGCAAACCTGATGTATTTATATTCCCCCCCATTTTTTCCCTAATGTATCCCACCTTTTTTCTGAGAGGGGAAAAAAAAAAGAATTGGGAAAAGTGGACCCAAATTTGGGCAACAGTCTATATGTAGATTACCTTTTCTTAGTTAAAACTTTAACTTAGTTAAAACATGGAATGCTTGGACGGAGGCCGCTGCGAGCATGCACGAAAGCTCAGAGTGGTCCAGGCCTGGAGGTGGAATTGCGACAGCCAGAAAGAGTGAAACACCAAAGACCGATGCCGGAGGAGGGTCGCCGCCGGACTGTCCCCTCGCAAGAAAGAAGATCTGCTACAACAGGATAAGGGTGCCTGGTAGGCTTCTCACCTCCCCTACATATCTGGCCCTAGATTAGATTGGTTAAATCGGAATTGTAAGCCACTCAGAGCCCCTAGGGGGTGAGTGGGATAGAAGTTGAAGGAATAAATAAAAATTAATAAATAAATAAATGTTAGAAGGATCAAATTTTAAAATGTGCTGTTGCCTAGTACATTTCCCATGTAATTCAAACAAAGGTGGTGTGTGCATGCATGCATGTACACTGCAAGTAGAAAAACCAAGCCCTTTCGTAGATCATTATATCTGTTTTGTTATCGGTACATTGTCACCCTGCCTTCCTCCAAGCAGCTGAGGGGGATGCACGTAATTCAACATTCTGCAGTTTTTATCTTAGTGCCCCCACTGCCAAGAGAGGTTAACTTGAAGTCAACCATGGAGCTGCATGGCTGAGTGGGGATCTGAAACTTGATCTTGCCAGTCCTAGTTAACTCTGATTTATCTATCTATTTCACTTTTACCCTGCACCCGATCTGAAAATGGAGAAGGGGTGGGGGCTAAAAGACTGAGAGTAAGGTTCCACCGAAAATAGGTTTTAAAGATGGAGAGATGCAGTGCTGTGTAGTGGTTCTAGGAATGAGCTTCAAGTATAAGCAGCAGCAACAGGAAACAAGTAAGAATCCTCTAAGGGTGATCAGTAGATATATAAAGAAGGACAAATGTTTCACATGGGCCACACTCAGGTTAAAAGTATTCTGGATGCAGAAGGGGCATCATATGATCTGAATATGCCTAAGAAGGGTAAATGATTTGGGGGGGGGGGGGAATTTATGGAAAGAGAAGAAAGGACTAGGATGATAGAAAGAAAATGCAAAAGACTATTACAGTAATCAAGGTGGGAGATGACCAGAATTTAAGGCCAGGAAATGGAGAAAACCAGTCAGATTTTTGTGATGTTTTATAGGGAGAAGCAATATGATTTGGCGACAAACTACACACAGAGAAAAGAAAGGAATTAAGGTTACACCAAGGCTTAGTACATGAGCTATACAGTGATACATCATCAATGGAATGCTTGGGATTTGATGACCCATGCACATTCATAAATTAGCAATGAAAACAGGTGACCCTGCAATGTGTTCATGAAGTTCTGAAGCAGATGTCTGAAAACCAATATAACAATTCAGGTGTCTAACAAGACCAGATATAACGTATCATGGGAGCACATGACAATTATGGAGTCCAAACATGACCCAAATAAAACTGATCAGCAACTTCAAGCAAGGCTGAAAGAAATATTGCGAAGATTGAAAACAGAGTGGGGAGAATCCACTGTTTCTGTTAAAAAAGGAACATTCCCTCACCATCCAAACAAAGAAATGTACAGAACACGAAGGCACATAAAGGAGTCAAACAAGTTTAATCTCCATACAAATGAAACTACTCAGAAATATTATACATATTTAGATTTTACATGCCATGACTAACCCTAATATTAAATATCCAGGGTTACAATTAAATGTTATGAAGTACATTATTCCATGACATAATACCTCCTATGATACAGGATATTAAGCATGGTTAAAATCAGGGCAATCCTCAAGGTATCATCTATGTTCTCACAGAAAGAGTAGTTAAATTTCATGGAGGTGTCCACATGTTAAACATTCCTACCTGCTGACCCAACAGTTACCTTTTTTTAGAGCTGCGTTCTCTGCTCCTGTCCCTGGAGCTATGCCTGCTTCTCTGGTGGCTGCGGCTCCTGCTGCGACTGGCGGAACGAGATCTGTGACGGTGACGTTTCTCACGGGATCTTGATCGAGTTCTTTTCTTTCGGTCACGTGAGGATGAACGAGATCGATGTCTGCGGCGATCTCGGGACCTAGATCTGAAAGGAGACCCAAATTGAATAAAAAGAAACTCCACGAGATCTACCAAGTCAGCCCTGCAAAACAAATCTCTGCCTGAATCAATTTCTGCTGTAAGAAGTTTTAAAATTTCAGCATTTCATGGAACTTCTAAGGCAAATGAGTACCTGTTGCTTCACAGGTATCAGTTTTGGTAGCAGCAAGTCATTAAAAATGGCCAAGGGCCATCAACATGTGTGGCCAGCCATGCAGCTGCTGCTGTGTTCCACATCAATACCAGGATGTGTCATTCACAAAACACCTCTGGACCTACAAAACTTTAAAGTTCTCTTCTAATTTGTCACTAAACAGAAGGCAGCAACCAGTTCAAACTGCCTTGCATCTCAAGTACCAGCTTGGTGCTCAATACTTCTACAAAAATGGCCCACAGATATAGGGTGCCCAGCAGTTTAAGCTATCTATCTCTCATCACAGCACTAATAACTTTGTGTTTAAAGATTCCATTAAGAAAAAGAAGAAAAGGAGATTGGATTTATACCCTTGTCCTTCACTACCTGAAGGAGCCTCACAGCGGCTTACAATCTCCTTTCCCTTCCCCACCCCACAATGGACACCCTGTGAAGTAGGTGGGGCTGAGAGAGCTCTTTCAAGAATTGACCAGGAGAGAACAGCTCGAAAGAACTTGTAACTGACCCAAGGTCATGCCAGCAGCTGCATGCGGAGGAGTGGGGAATCAAACCCGGTTCTCCCAGATTAGAGTTCGTGCTCCTAACCACTACACCAAACTGGCTCTCAATTAAGAAATGAGCTGCGCCAGCTATGGCTAGGGATTAAACATCAGCAGATCGTGGATGTCTCCCCCACAGTCACATTCCATCAAAGTGACAGAACTGGGACTGTGCATCTTGTCATTACGGAAGACTTTGTTTACTAATGATATTAAATACAGAACTTGTAAAAAATCACAGGAAAGTAAAGCTGGTATCCTACCTCTTGGGGTTCTTGCTATGGGATCGGGATCTGAAAATAAGTTTAAAGTATACAAGTAAACATATGCTGAAATGTCAACTTGAACAATCATCTCTCTCTCTTTTTTAAATTTTGTTTTATTGAAGAAATAATTTTATAATTTAACAACACCAAAATCATTTATATGAAAAACAAAACTTCACTTCCATGCTTTATCTTCATATCTTCTTCCAAAATTATTACATGATAATGTTTATAAGATTCTCAAACTATCTTAGCTCATTATAATAGATTTCAGTATATTATCAAATAAATCTTTGAACTAAATTATTCTGCAAATAATTAAGCTCAGTCCTTGGAGGCCTCAAGGGTCAGGAGGGGGAGGGGGAACCCTCCTTCCAAGGACCAACCTTGGGGGAACATACCCAGACGCTTGCCACAGTCCCACCGCTCTTGTAGCATCAAAAAAAAAAAAGTGTTATATTACCCAAACTCTCTTCAAAATCTTTGTGGTCTTCAGGGGTACAGACTTGAGTAATTTTGGCTGGCATAAGAGGAGAGCATTCTTTCCTTTTGCTGGCTCTATTTTCTTGTGATTCAGAAGGAGAAGAATTTAAGGTGGCCAGCATTAGTTCACCCAAGGCAGAGTCATATGCAGTGTAAGAGAATGAGCCATGTTGGACACACAACTTGCCCATATGGCGCCAATGATATTTTATTCCTAAATCCCGCAGTTTAGCAGTGGTGTCTTTTAAGATCTCGTCTAATCTTTAAAAATTCAAAAGGGGGGGGGGGGAGATCTGGAAAAACTTGAATCTTCAAACCCTGAAAGTCAAGACTGCCTTGCTCTCTAGCCTCTGCAAGGATCGTCTGCCATGTTCAAAAGTCCTTAAATCCTACCAGTTGAGGAAGTAGATTCATCACATACCTTACCAATACAATAAGCTCTCTGTAGGAGGGTCGTAACACCAGCTTCAAGGCTTAAAGTGCCCACTAACTAATTCACCATAAATATATTCAGCTCTGTTCCAGCTTCAACATTTGATTTAAACCCTTTGAACTTTAAGCACATCTCAACAACTACAATAATCCAAAGGCAAAATATGTTCCCGTGCCCAAGTATGAGAGGTTCTCGCAGGTGACTGACTCTTGAGCTCAATAACTTTCTTGAGAGCTTTCTCTACCTTTTGGTTTGTCTATTTATGAAGCTCTTCTAACTCGTGCATGCATTGAAATGTTGGTTTCAGCATTTCTGTAATATTGTTTCTTAGTTCCTGATGTTGTTTGGTTAGCGCCTGCATTAAAAAATTTGTAGTAAGCGGGCTCTCTTCAGCCATTAGCTTACCCCTCCCCCAGCATTGCATATGAGGTGGATGGTGCATCTGTAGCTGGGAAAAACTCTGTTAAATGCAAAACACTTTTTCCTTTTTGTTTCCCCTTCTTACCACCTTTAGCCGCCATCTTTCAAAATAATTTTTTTTGCATTGAAAAGGGTAAAAATATTCAAATGTTGAGCGGGCAGACGGTGAGCTCTGGGTACTGGCTGCTGACCCGGAAGTTGGTCGCTGCCACTCCCCCAAGTTGGATAATCCATTAACCAGAACAGAATATCATTAAAGCAGGTGATGCTAACCAAGAGCATAAAATCCAAGTCAGAACCACAGCTACTGAACAAAAGAGACTATTTTTCTTCTATTTAATCAATGTTCCCTCCACTGTTAAAGAACTTCAAGTGGAGTTCTTCAGAGTTAACAGTTTGACAGCCTTTAAAAAACATAAGATTGTATAAATGAAAACTATGGAGAAAATAAGCATTTCAACATTTTATGTATTACCACCACTTCTCATAAGCAAATTTCCCTGGTTCTTGGCATCTACAAAATGCTCACACTCATGCAGACACCCACAGTTCAGAATTGCCTGACATTCTGTGAAGCTGGGGGACCCAACAGATGTTGTTTACCTTGACTTCCAGAAAGCTTTTGATAAAGTTCCTCATCAAAGGCTCCTGAGTAAGCTCAAAAATCATGGGATAAAAGGACAAGTCCTTTTGTGGATCAAAAACTGGCTAATTAATAGGAAACCGAGAGTGAGTATAAATGGGAAATTTTCTCAGTGGAGGCTGGTAAGCAGTGGGGTACCGCAGGGATCAGTACTCAGTCCAATGCTTTTTAACTTGTTCATTAATGATTTGGAGTTGGGAGTAAGCAGTGAAGTGGCTAAATTTGCGGATGATACGAAGTTGTTCACGGTGGTGAAAACCAGGGAGGATTGTGAGGCACTCCAAAGGGATCTGTCAAGGATGGGCAAGTGGGCATCAACGTGGCAAATGGGGTTCAATGTGGCCAAGTGCAAGGTGATGCACACTGGAGCCAAAAATCCTAACTATAAATACACGTTGATGGGGTCCGAACTGGCAGAGACTGACCACGAGAGAGATCTTGGAATCGTAGTGGATAACTCACTGAAAACATCGAGACAGTGTGTGACTGCAATAAAGAAGGCCAATGCTATGCTGGGGATTATTAGGAAGGGTATTGAAAACAGATCAGCCAATATCATAATGCCCCTATATAAATCAATGGTGCAACCTCATTTGGAATACTGTGTACAGTTCTGGTCACACCTTAAAAAGACTATGATAGCTTTGGAAAAAGTGCAGAAAAGGGCAACTCGAATGATAAAAGGGTTGGAACACTTTCCCTATGAAGAAAGGTTAAAGCACTGGGGGCTCTTTAGCTTGGAGAAACGAGGGCTGAGGGGTGACATGATTGAGGTTTATAAGATTATGCATGGGATAGAGCAGGTAGAGAAAGAGGTACTTTTCTCCCTTTCTCACAATACAAGAACTCGTGGGCACTCCATGAAATTGCTGAGAGGTCGGGTTAGAACAGATAAAAGGAAGTACTTCTTCACCCAAAGAGTGATTAACACATGGAATTCACTGCCACAGGAGGTAATGGCGGCTACAAGCATGGACGGCGTCAAGAGGGAATTAGATAAGCATATAGAGCAGAAGTCCATCGGTGGCTATTAGCCACAAGGTATAGATAGGGGCTCCAGGGCAAGTAATGTTCTGTATTCTTGGTGTTTGCGGGGGGGCAATAGTGTGAGGGCTCCTAGTGTCCTGGCCCCACTGCTGGACCTCCTGATGGCACTTGGTATTTTTGGCCACTGTGTGACAGAGTGTTGGACTGGATGGGCCTTTGGCCTGATCCAACATTGGCTTCTCTTATGTTCTTATGAAGCTTGTACAGTGAACTGATTATAGTGAATATATTATATTTGATGACTGATCATGTCAGTTACTATGAAGATGTCAATTTGAAATTCAGTTGGATATTTTCCCGGTTTGAAAATTCATTCCAATCACACACTCAAGTGGCTATAAGTTGTCCTAGCAGCAAACCTAAAACAGCAAGATCACTCTTAAACTGAGGAGAAATCTTATTTAAGAAAAAAGTTTTGCTATTCTCTTCAGAGGCAGCAAATGCAAATACATTCTTGTCATGCTGATTGACAAATACAACAGATTTCTACCTCCTTAGTTTCTCTCTTTCTTCCCTCTCCCGCTCTTCTCTCCTCTTGAGGCGGTCTTGATTTCTTTTCTCTTGTTTATCAGCCACGATTCTCTGAAAAACAAATGTATTTCCATAATTTCTTTTATGAGGATCAGTACCACCAAAGCATTTACAAAGACTGTGTTTCCTTCTTTCCCATTTCTTGGCCCTTACCAATTGTAAACCTAATCTGGCAGGATCATGAGTTATATAATTAAAGGTATATGTAGTACAAGTCATCTTTGTTCATTCCAAAGAGGGAACTAATGGGGACACTCTTTAGTAGAGTTGCCAGGTCTGGGTTGGGAAGTACCTGGAAATTTTGAGGATGAAGCATGTGGAGGGTGGGGTGGAGGGGCTCAGCGGGATATAATGGCCATACAGTCCATCCTCCAAAGCAGCCATCTTATCTAGGGGAACTGATCTTGGTAGTCTGGGAAGCCATGGTAATAATGATAGATCTCCAGGTGCCACCTGGAGGTTTGCAAACCTACTCTTTAGAGACGAGCTCTAAGCAGTGGGCTAATTTTTAAATGGGCATTTCCACTGTAATCCTGTCATTTACTGCTGCAGGTAAAGAACTTTTCAAAGCCAAACACCTCAATCTATACTGAAGAATAAAATGTTGGTAATCCGATGGTAGGTAGCATGTAGTGCAGAAGAACCACTCCACGGGAGGCTCTGCTAAGCTCATGTATCTCTCCAGGAAATATCTTCCATAGATGGGGAAGTTAGCAAGTGAAGTGAGTCAGATGGGCAGATTTCTCTTGAGAAAACCATCATGGGGAAGGTCCTACCATGATGCTATGAATTTAGAATGTTAATTCATTATCTTCAAAAATATGTTCTACATTTGCCATCTGAGGTTGCTCAGAAGATCAATGAGATGTAAGAATATATACTAGCGCTTTTGAAATACAACCCCTCATTCCCAGCCACATCACTGGTTCTGAACATGAGATACCAATTAATGGACATCTATTACAACTGTCTGACCAGTAACTGGTTATTATTAATGGATTTTAAAAAGCAATACATAATTACCCTAAGCTCTTCAAGTTTCTCTCTTATTTCAATAAAACCCAAGTGGAGTTTTCCTCCAAAGTGATCAGCAAGCCGCCTGTCGTTATCATGTAGACCAAGATAAGCTGAGCACACTTCACAGACACGAAGCTTCTGCTGCTGGAAGCTAGAAGCAGGCATTGAATTTCTGTACACTTCCTGAAAGATACACAATATATTCTCATAAATGCATGAACAGACAGACATCCTAATAGGTAGATATTTTAAACTGAGGTGGAGGATTAATTTGTGAACAGCTCAAGGGGGAGCTGTCGCTATCAGGAATCTGGCAAATGAATCTGTGGACTGGCTATCACTGCTGCATGGACAAGGAAGGAAACAGTGTGATCAAGAATAGAACACTCCTGTAGGCTCTTTCCAGTGAACCACCAGTGTGGATAGAAAATGTTTGGGTGTATCCTCCCTTTGATTTGAGTGAAATGTCTGTAGTTCTCTTATAAAGCTCAAGACAGTTTTCTACTTCCTATTGCAGCATTCTATGCTTTCTAGAATCACTGGAACTACAGAGTCCAGTACAGCTTTGCAGTCAACAGAGTGAGAAAGGAAAGGCTAAAAAGAAGGTTTTCCCTGTAGGAAGTGCAAATCATAGCATCTGCAAACACAGCTTTGGTAGAATAAAAGGGTCAAAGCTGGACATTAAACACCACTGATCTACATGAAGTATTGTTGCAGAACTGTGTAATTTGTGCTTTGTGTGGCTAAACCCCACAACTCTTACTCAACATGAGGACTTGCTGGATTTTTTGGGACAATGAACATAGTTAATGCAATTTTTAAGACTCTTGCTCTATGCCAGTTCTGTGGATTACCTTATTCATGGATTGTAATAATTAATGAATATGGGAGCACTAAGGATCAAATTAAATCAACTGTTTAAGAACACTGATTAAAATTACCTCTGCTTCCCTCTTCTTTGCCCTTGCTTTCTCCACTTCATCCATTACTTTCTGTGATTCTTCCACATTTCCATCAGCTCCAAGTTGCTCTACTTTGGCAAGCAGCTTCCCAATTTCTTCATTCAATTCATGGACTCGTTCAGCCTTTGGGAGAGAAAAAAAGATAAAATAATAAATGAAACAGTTTTCTTCAAGCAAAGCTGAGATTACACAGATTACAACTGGTCCTTCCGTTAAACAAAATATATTTTTAAAAACTGCCTTTTTTGCCACAAACTAAGTAAAACAGAGATCAGAGTACTGGACTTGAATCTTTGAGACTTCACTTCAAACTCACACGAAGCTCACTGGGTGACTGAGCCAGACACACACAGAACTGTACCTCACAGGGTTGTTGTGAGAATACAGATGAACTCCACTATCCTGTCCTCAGATATAACTAAACCACAACATAATGAATACAGTACTTGAACTGGATCAGGGAAGCCCAGGTTCAAGTTCCTATTCAGCCATCAACACTCTGGAGGACCCCTGTTGATATTATCCTTTCCTAGCTGTGCTTTCACACAGAGGAGGAAGAGGAGGAAGAGGAGGAGGAAGAGGAGGAGGAGGGGGGGGAGGAGGAGGAGGAGGAGGAGATTGGATTTATACTCCGCCCTTCACTACCCAAAGAAGCCTCAGAGTGGCTTACAATCTCCTTTCCCTTCCCCTGCCCACAACAGACACCCTCCTGTGAGGTAGGTGGGGCTGAGAGAGCTCTGACAGAAACTGCTCTTTTTTCAAGAACAGTGGACTACTAGTGATTTCAGAAGTTTGTTGAAAATAATGAAATGGTTAAATGCCATTTTCCACACTGAAAAAGTGTTGGAGAAGCAAACAGGTTTTTTTTTTTTTTTTTTAAACTGTAATCAGAGGCATCCTCAATGAAGTACCAGCAGAGTGAGTCCTCAATGCTTACCTTGGCTGCAACTTCAGCACTGATCTCCTCTTGGGTTTCTGCCAATCTTTTCTTTGCCACCTCAGTTCTCCGATCACAGTCAGCTATGAATGACTGCAGATGATCCATTGCCTAAGGCATCAAAAGATTCATTGCCCAAAATAAATGTTTTTTTCATTAGGCAAAACAAATTCATTCACTGCAGGTTAAACCTACAGCAGTAAAAAGCTGCACTTTTCAACTTTTACACTTAACACACTCGATCAAGGGTTTCTAGGAGATCCTAAACCAAATACAATTTAAGTCACATTTACAGGAATATTAAAATTAACAAGCACGTTTTCAGTTGCCAACACTCTTCTGTTCCTGTACTTTTAACAATGTGGACTAATTCAAGTCAGTCAATGAGATGCACAATTGCATGGGAGGACTGAAACGTATCCTTGAGTGAATATGAACTGGAAAGGAGTTCAAGTGAGGAGAGGGGTTGAATTTCACATATAGAAAATAATGCCCTAACTCCTCATTGAGGGAATGCTACAGGATTAAAACCTGCTCTTCCACTTCCCAAAGGGCTTTCTGTTCACCAGACGATATCACTACTTGAATATTCCTGCTCCCATGTCTTCACTGAAAGCAATCTTCTTGAAAATATCACACATACACAACACTTCTTAATCTTGTCAAAACTACAGAAGGTAAGCCCTGCTGAGTAGTTTCTCTCCAAGTACAAAAACTTTCAACAAAATGTCCCATTTCTCTAATTCCTACTACAGGTCCAATGATGTTCCACCATTAACCGACTAACCATGGATTATAAATCCCAAGAAACTGAGCATTTCACAAAATTGCATGCTCTGAAAATTTAGGCACTTAAGTCATCAAGCTCCTTACTAGGATTGTTTATTTAACAAGCCAAAACCAGCATGATACCATGTCCCTGAGTAAGCTTCCCTTCCCTCCCATCACATTTATATGCTAGAGATAATTCAAAGATAAACGTACATCAAGCTCAAAGAAAAAGTCTTGTTCTTTTGATGCGATTTCATAATCCGCTCTTAATGCCAAATCATGCACCTTCAGACATTCTCCAAGGTCCATCCTCTAAAGACAGAAAAACAGAACTTTACATATACTAAAGTGGCTTTAAAGAATATTTTGATCAAATATTGTGAAGCAAGCAAATTTCATGTAAGCTCAGAAACAATGCAACATTTCAATTAACTAGCACCACAAAATTATTAAGGCAAGTGATCAGAACCAGTCCATTCTAAGATGTCCAATATAATACTGCTCAGACTAAGAATAGACAACTAATATCTAATTGCTATAGATTTTCCGGGTTGTGTGGTCGTGGTCTTGGCATTGTAGAACCTGACGTTTTGCCAGTAGCTGTGACTGGCATCCTCAGAGGTATAACACAGAAAGATGGAGTACTCTCTGTGTCAAGGTGAGAAGAAAAATGTTAGGCAGGTAATTTATATCACTCCAAAAGGTGGGGTAGGGCTGAGTCAATGATCTTGTAGGAGTTCCCCAGGCTATGAACATGCTAACAAGATAACTGACTCAGCCCTACCCCACCTTTTGGAGTGATATAAATTACCTGCCTAACATTTTTCTTCTCACCTTGACACAGAGAGTACTCCATCTTTCTGTGTTATACCTCTGAGGATGCCAGTCACAGCTACTGGCAAAACGTCAGGTTCTACAATGCCAAGACCACAGTCACACAACCCGGAAAATCTACAGCAACTAATGAACTCCGGCCGTGAAAGCCTTCGACGACTAATATTTGTTTGAACTTCAGCCATACCAGCATTATATTGGCTGGTCTTAATAAAAGGTACTACACGGCTTTTGTTATTGGATTCTGTTTGGTAGCAGTGTGGCCACCTGTAGCCTCAGCATTTCTAGTGGTACTTGAACTTGTAAGACTGAACAATTCTTAATAAGTCTTCCCTCTTCTTGCATTTGTCCTGATAAGCTTGCATATCTATCAGTCCATTTGTTTAACAAAGACCCCAGAAAAGGGAAATTATGAATTATGATCAAATGGCACATACCTTCACTTTCATTCATACTCCTTTAACTGACCTCCTTACACTGAGGACAACTATTTTCCAGGAGTACAAAAAATTACAGTGGTTTAGATCCTACAAGCGTTCCACTGATGGTGGAGCTTTTCTTTGGTAGAAGTGGTAGGATACAAGCCTAAGCCTCTCCCAGTTGTAACAGCACAGACAGGAGAGACATCCAAAAATTATGAGGCCTGGGGAAGTAATGTTTTAGACAAGATAATTCTAGAACTGATTCTCAGGCAGCAGTATTCAGTGATGGTTAAGTTGTACACACATTCATAATAATCAGCAAGAAAACTTTAAATGTCAATCTGAAGCTGAGAAAAATATGTTCAGAATCCTATTTTGTAAAAACAAAGAGAATTTAGCATGCATTACCTACAGAATTTTCAGCCATGCATCCTGTGGTACACAAATTAATAGCAGACAGATAGAATAAACTCTCAGTATTTACAACAGCTCACTTAAAATATATGGCTCCTTCTCCATATCTATCACTTTTCATTAGCAAGGCATCACAAAATAGGTGCATCTACTCACTCTTGACTCACACATAAGTCCATTCTGTATCCAGCATCAGCCTAAAAGTTTTAAGCTTTGAGTTTTTACTGGTTTTAAATGGCTTAATTTAATGATTTTATGTTTTATGGTTCAATCTTGTTTTAATATGTGAGCTGCCTCAAGCAGATCTCTGAATAAGCGGCAGATACATTCTCTAAATAAATAATTAGTGGTTAGTGTGTTGGAATAGGATTTGGAAGTCCCAGATCCCCAGCCTACCATGAAACTTATTCAGCAACCTTGGGCTAGTCACTTTCTGTTTAAATTTCATAACAGGGTTGTTGTGAGGATGAAATGGGGAATGGAGAACAATGTGTGTCACCCTGAGCTCTTTGGAAGAAGGGTGGAATAAAAATGTACTAAAATAAACACAAAGGAAAATGTAGGGCCATTCTTCATTTTTTAATTTATTAAGATTTAATCACTAACACAGAATTTAAATCCTATTAAGAATTTTTACAAGCATACATCTGGAAAGATTTAGGGATTGGAGCACCCTTCTTATGAGGGAAAACTAGAGTCTGGGGCTTTTCAGGTGATTAAGGGGAAACATGAGGGAAATTTATTAAATAAACATGACCAGAGTATTCCCCCCTAAAACCAGAATGCAGGAACACCCAGTAAGTTGGTGGGGAACACACTGAGGACATATGACAGAAAGTCCTTCTTTCCTCAACAAGCAACTAAATTCTATTTATTTAAAACATTTATTAGCTGCCTTTCTCCCTTGCAGAACTCAAGGCAACTTACAATAAAAATAAAACAATTACAAGAAAACCCAATAAAAACAAAATAAATAAAACAGTTGCAAACAAACTGTGGAATTTACTTCCAGTTGACATAGTGATGGCCGCTAGCACAGATGTTCTTAAGGACAGGGCCATCAATGACTATTAACCATTATAGTTAAAGAGAACCTCCACATTCAGGTGCAGTAAACATACAAAAGCCAGTGCTAGGAGACCACATCAGGGGACAGCCTTGGCCTTTATGCTCTGTTTGCTGGTCCTCCAAAGCAACAGCTGGTTATTGTCTAAAACAGGATGCTGGATTGAATGAATGACTATTCTAATCCACCAGGGCACTTATGTAAATATGATACATTCCAGTTCAGTCTGCTCTGCACCTATCACCTTATTGTTATTTTTTTTCATGGGTACACCTGTTACATAAATAGGTATCAAGACCACTAAGGATACGCTCAGACTCTTAGGATACACCACCACCACCACTAACTGAAATACTGTTTAATTGCCGTAGCTTTTTCTTAGATTCTTTGGTCAGCAAATCACTGTATTACTTTGTTTGGTCAGGGTTCAACTGTGACCAATGGTGATCTGGTTACATTCTTGTTCAGAGCATTATATGATCAGTAATAGGCTTGGAACAACTGAATTTGTTTAAATCAATTTCACCTGAAAACATTTAAACATTCAGACTTTAAAGAAATCCTTGTATTTATACCCATGGGAGACTGACTGATTTTTGTATACGCACAAGTACTGTCGTGCTTCTGTATAGGTGTCCAAGGGTCAGAAAACAGTGTTTTGTTTTTAAGTGTTACGCTGATTAATCTTTTGATGTCATCAGACAAGCTCCATGAAACATTTTCCAGTTTACAATATTATATTATTTATAACATTACATAATTTAGAACACCTACTTTATACTTCTCCTTGGCAGCACGGTCTAACAGTCAAAATTTATGCTTTGAGGTACAAAACTGAAAGTAGCAAACTCAGAGACAGTCATAAGAATGAACTTGATACTGAACTTTTTCAGGAAACATGACAAAGATTACTCTAAGAGGTATATAAGTTACCCGGTAATACCATGATTAAAGAAAACTGTGTAAAGGCATTTGCTCAGGTGGTAAGAGATCACACGGTCAAATCTACAAAACTGTGCTGGAGGGGTTGTGGTGAAATTGGTTCATATAGGCACTGTTGGTGGGTCTGTGCGCATGTCACGGCTTTTTGGCGACTGATAGTTAATCACATCTATAACATTACTGCTTTCCAACTACCACTTGATGCAGAATCCTTATTGTTAGGTACATGGCAATTTAGCCCTTCACCACTGCTTCATAAGGAACTGATTCTCCTTTTATGTGCAGCCGCCAGACTTTTAATTGCAAAATCCTGGAAAAATAATACTCACCTTACACTATCAGCCTGGCTATATAAAGTCTGTGCTTTCTGTCTGATGGACAAACTTACTGATTCTCTTCTTTCTAAGGCTACAGATAATTTGATTCAAAATTTACCTTGATCTAGTTCTGCTTCCTGGACTATTTATCCACCAAACCTGAGTATTCTTTGATTTTGGATATTATAAATCTGTTGTATTGATGCATTTCATGGGATGTTTCATGTTAATGAAATTCTTAGTCAAACTGTTTTTTTGTTAATATCATGTCTACATTGTTTGTTATGTAAGTTTTATCACATGTACCAATTAAGCTATATTTCTGATGTTATATGTACTTGCTTGTAAAATAAATATTAAAAGTTTTTTAAAAATCTACAAAAGTTGGTTGTATTATTGCTCAGGTGGTATAATTTCCTGAGGAGGTTAGCAAAAATGCCTGATGTTGTTTCTATCACATGTTGGAAATGTACAAACATGTCAACACTTTTATGCATATCTGGTCAGTGGGAATGTCTGAAAGCAAAAGTATTCTGAGGAAATATTCATATATGCAAGATTGTTGGGTATGACCAGGAAACAGCCTATCACTGTATTTATTAGGTTATTATACGTGAATTCCCAAGGTACATGTATATCTCATTGCTTTATGTGTTTTTGTTTTAATTTTTAAATTTTGCAATTTAAAAAAATATCAGGAGTTCACAAATTTACTCATCATGATGAGTGCCTTTCCTCTTGGGCAGCAAAACTCTCCAGAGCCAGGAGATGCTGAAGAGGGCATCTCTGCAGTCACACGGTGGAGCCATTCAATGGAATCCAACCAATAAATTTAAAACAAAACTGTACTGCCATAATTTTGCTTGCTCATACCATATGTCAGGGGTGGCCAAACTGTGGCTCAGGAGCCACATGCGGCTCTTTCACACATGTTGTGTGGCTCCCGGCAGGGTGCTGGGGAAGCGTTCCTCTCCCTGGGTAGGCTTGAGGTGGGGGGGGGGGGGCAGAGAAAGAAAGCAACTTTAAATACGTTCTCAAATCCCCCACCCCCCTGGCCAGCTTGGAGAAAGCATTTGTCTCTTTAAGTATCATTATCAATATCTGTTTTTACCCCTTTTGTTTTTTGTTTCTGGCAGTCTTATTTAATGTTAATAAAGCAAATTTGCATGTTTTCTAATAAAAGCATGTGAAATATTCGTTCATGTCTTGCTTCTCTCAGACATCTGAAGTTACTTCTATGTGGCTCTTCCGTTAAGCAAGTTTGGCCACCCTTGCCAGATTTCTTTTGCTTCTTTCTTGAAACTACCTGCCTCCGAACTTAAAGACACCGCTGCACTCTACAATGAATGAGCCCCTGGAAGCCTGCCTATCTGCTTCTGATGCATTATGTCTAAAAAGAGCTCACCTTTTAACAAGTATTTTTCTTCCTCCCCACTGATGTACAGGCCAAATAATTTTTGAAAGAAAAGTTTTTAACAACTTTTTTAATAGTAAAAAGTTTGGCTAGTACAGCATGGAGGTGGTATTCTGCACTGCATGAAGATTACATGTTCTTCTTTATACATCAGGTTTTTAAAGTTTGCTGTTGGAGAAGCGAGTTGCTTTTTCATTGTTTTCTTTCTCTGTACTTTTCCTGTAACCTGCCTATCTAAACAAATAGCCCATCATATAGCACAATTGTTCCATATGTACAGAAAGTTAGCACACCACCCTAGGCTACAATCCTTCTCTTGACATCAGTGCAAGGGGAGGAGGGAGTCGTTTGTCCCATGAAATGATATATCCCAAAAACAGGTTTACCATATCGTTGTGAGATAAAACTGTTCCTGGGCTTCTACTTTAGATAGTGGGCTGTGTATTAAGGGTGCACATGGAAAACATAAATATCCTAGTCTACTGCATATGTATAAACCAAATGTAAGTAGTGAGACTATAAGCCACCATCCCCTTCCAATCATGAACACAAAATTAATACTCTCGAAGTTATTCACCTTTGGCTTTGTTTCTCAGTCCACATTTCTTCCCCACACTTTTCCTTTCACCAACCCAAAAAACATACATTTAGATCACATGTGTGAATTTGTAACTTGTGAAGAAAATGAAGCTGGCTTTCTAAAGTTAAATAGTCAAACCTCAACCAAACCAAAATCCTCATTCAGTCGCAAAGCATACTGGATAAGCTCTGGGATATCACAATCAACTGTGTCAGGGTTGATGAGGGTTGAGATGAACAATATATACTACCCAGAATTCTCTGGAAGTAAAATGAAATAAAAATGCCATTGACCTCTTTGAAACACAGTGCTGGTAAGTGAGAGTATCTGAATAAATGGCTCAAAATACAGCATGAGTGTCTAAGAATGTTTTTCCCTGATGCCACTTTCACTTTGGCAAAACTACACAGAAATTGAAATAGCGAAAGAATACCTTCAGTGTTTCATCATTCCTAGCATTTTCAGCAATGATTTGTAGTGTCTCATGAATTTTCAGAAAAGACTGGATCCAACCAGTTTTCCCCTTTGGTGGAAAAGGAATAAAGGGAGGATCATGGGGCCTGCATGGGCAAAAGCCATGTGGAACAGGGGCTGTAAAAAGGAGGGAATGGCTGAGATTGAGCAAAAAACCTGGGTGGATCCAACCCAAACGTTACTTATTATTTTGCATGAGAATGTTTTGCTGTATGATATAAAAGTGTGCATTAAGTTCTTGTTATTGCTTGCTTATATGTAAACGTAACCTTACACCATTCAACAATGGTGCATAAATTCATTTCTTAAATCAGATGTTTTTTGTACTATCTTAAATATTCAATTAAATTGAGCTTTTAAAACCAACAAATAGAATTATGAAAAGTTGGGGAGAAGATAGGCTATGATTATAGGTTAGATTTTTGTTGTGATGATGACAACCAGAGTTACCCCTATGTTTATTTATATACCACAACACTATCATAGTTTTAATGAAATTACAGGAAACTGAAAACATTAGGTCTAGCTTTTGTGGTAGCAATAATTAGAAACTATGTTTATTAAAGTATGAAAGCTTGAAGGCTGAAAATTATACCATTTTACAAACAGGGGCAACTGGGAGGGAAACTGCTGATGTGCTCTATTCTAGTCTTTTTATGACTAGCCTTTTACTGAACATTCAACATTGTATTTAGGTTCACAAGTTCAATGTATATGAATAAACAGAAACCTACTGAATTGGGCTGCCTAGCCCCACAACTCTAGGGTCACAAACTTGCTGGAAATCGTGCAGCTAAATATTTCTGAAAGCAATGTCTGCAAAGTATAAAATAAAATACGCACTGTTCCAGAGAGGACGTCATGAGGGCAGCAGTTGAGAAGATGACTTTTGCATACTCTGTCATCACTGAATTTGATTCGCTGACGGGTAGTGTCCCCTGTAACACAGAAATACACATCACGGATTAGACAAATACGTAAAGTTCTAAAGGCCAGTGTTGTTTCATTTGCACCCAAAGGATTGTTCTCCATGTTACACAAAGAGAATCTGACAAGGTAGAATCTAAAACTTGACAATAGCTCAGTAATTATTTAAATGTAGTAATTATTTTATATACTGTATGACACTAAAAGTTAAACATGTAACTACACATGGTGAAAATTCATTGCTTTTACAGTGTATGTACAGAAGTCACAGATTCTAACACACGTGGACTGTACTTGAGTTTCTACTGAATGCCACTGACATTTCTTCAAGCCTTTATTCATGGCATGGTTGCAAAGACCTTTTACTTTGGGCAGGCTGAACGCAGGTGGATGAGTTGATAAACCTAGAACACTGGAAGAAACAGGAACTCTACCAGCAGTATTAAACAATTTATACTTCATAAGCTAAACACAGTGTATCTGCATTAATAGCAAAATGAAACTTCTAGAAACACAAAAGCATCAGCCTGCTTACCACACATTGAAGTCCAATTGCAAGTCTAATCAATCACATCTGTGAACAAGGTTGGAAATATTAGATCTAAATTGTTAGCTCAATTACCTGGCTACTGATTTACTGCAAGGGTTACTGTCCCTCAAGGTACAATAGAAAGGTCGTTATTTCATATTTGCAAAGGAGGTCCTGTCTAAAGATGCAGCAGCAGTTTCACAACTCATGTATTTTATTTATTCCTTAAAATTGCCATTGTGTAAAGTGAAAACCTATTGGTGAATTACCGAAGCAGAAGAAATCTGCTTTCTGAAGCAGAAAAAGGATGTGTTCACAACTTCTCTTCCCGACTTTACCTCAAAAGGTAGAAACAGTAGTAGTTACAAATGCAGTTGTTGCTTCTTTCTATTGATTGGAGCACTCAATTTAAATCTATGCTCCAAATCCCTGACCTAATCATTCCATTGTATAAATTCAGTTTTAACAATCTGCCCTAAGCAGAGATAAAAGGCAAACTTTTTTTCAGAGGACCATATTCTTCTTAAACTTTGATTTTAGAAACAAACATTAACAGAATAATCAGACTGAGTAATTCACTTCCTAAAACAGCTTCAGAGTAGTTCAACAATAGGTTTTCAAATGCTAGGTCTCTCAATTTAATAGATCTAAATGAATGAAAATTTAGAGTTGCCCTTAAAAGTCATGCCTACTACTGCAGAATACTTGAGGGAATGTGGGTACTTTCCTCCCAATCTTGCTCTCTTTTTAAGACACATGTGCGCTGGTTCCACATTAATTAACACATCTGAAAAGTTAGCAATAACTCACGGCTCGGCGAATGCGGGGCCTTTCTGACACTCCCTTGCAGAATGAAGTAGGCAGGCAAAGATACATTGAACCTTTATAAATAAAACAAGGGGCCAGATTGTTCAGTTTGTATATAATAAACTCTGCCAGCATTTTCATCACAGCATCTAGAAATACATGTTAATTGTAAAAAACGGAGGGAAACCTGAATGATGTTGGGCCTGACAGCGATGCACTAGCCTATTTTGGGGGAATTTACTGAAAATAGCTGTCACTTAACCAGGGCTGGGCTGGGAAAATATTTTAATTCCTAGGTATCAATATTTTGTTTATACTTCTTCCTCTAAAATTACCTATGCATTTGATGTTGGACCTAAAATTTGATTCTGGTGCCTAGAATTTGAAATATTTTCCAGTCCTGCTTATAAATATTGTCAAGACAGGGCATGACAAATATAGCTGTTTCCATTCTTAAAACAGTTTTCAGCAACTGCAGCTTGATCACAAAATGTAATTCATTATGTATAAAAGTGAATTCTGATGGGAAAAGTAAAATTTTAAATAAATTGAAATCATAATTTTTGCTCATTTATTTTTTAAAAAAATGTTTAGAATATGGTTGCTACTGTAGCTCATCAGCACCCAGGTATAAAGATATTTTAAAAACCTATTGTTACATACTCCAGTGCCCCCAGATGCTTTTACTTTATTAATGACATAAAATAGCAATATTGAATGTATGCAATTATAAAATTAAGTTCATCTTTAGAAACAGCAGCTTCCTTTTTTTGCAAGGTATCTGGCCCAAACCATATTTCCATAACAGAGATGGAAGCAATTATAGAAAACCTGTGAGGATAATTGCTATGCATACATATTACATCTTTTCCTGGATTTTAAAACTCAACTCCTTGTAATGTTCAAGGAACCATACTCCACCCAACCTCAAATCCAAAAGCAATATCCAAATTTCCACTACAACTAGGTATTAAATAAGTCATGGTCATAACAAGGTATTTAAGAAATATATGAGCCTCCTTTTATAACGGCTTGCTTTTCAGATTACACCTTATGCAACACTGTTGCAGTTATTTATTTAACAAAGATATGGATTCACAGGTTAACTAAAGCGGAGGTCTGCAACAATATGTGTTTAACCCACATTCTTTTAATAACTCTTGGTTTCAGGTCTATCCATGATTTTTGCCATTTATGGCACTATATATATATATCTCCTACATACATTAATGGCACAGTTATACTTTTATAACTGTATTTGTTTACCTCCAGTTATTAGCGATTTAAGGGAAAATAATCAAATAGAAAAGCAACAAACATCCAGATAAGACAAATGGAATTTAGCTCTACCATAATATAAGAACATACAAACAGCCCTGCTGGATCAAGACCAGTGGTCCATTTAGTCCAACATCCTGTCTCACACAATGGCCAGCCAGTTACTCTTAAGTACCAACAACAGGGCACAGAGGCCAAGGCCTTCTCCTGATATTTCCTCCTGGCACTGGAATTCAGGTTTACTGCCTCTGAATGTGAAGGTTCCCTTTAGTCACTATGCACAGTAGCCACTGACAGACCTATCATAACTCACGTCTTTTATAAAGCATCCCTGCTTGGATTTCTGTAAATACAGCGTTGCAAGTATTTTCATTGATGGGAGACTATAATGTAATTCAACCAGTAGCTTAAATTGTTCATAACAGAAACTCAACAATATCAGTGTGGTGTAGAGAACCTGTGTGATGTAGTGGTTAGAGTGTTGGACTAAGATCTGAGAGACCCAGGTTCGAATCCCTTCTCTGCCATGGAAGCTTGCTGGCTGTCTTTGGGCCAGTTACATAGCTTAACCTACCTCACAGGGTTGTTGTGAGGAAAACTGGAGGCGGAGAGAAGGATGTAAGCTGCTTTGGGTCCCTATCGGGAAGAAACAGGGGTATAAATGAAGTAAAAAAAACCAAACAAACTGTGTGATGTAGTGGTTAGAGTGTCGGACTAAGATCTGAGAGACCCAGGTTCGAATCCCTTCTCTGCCATGGAAGCTTGCTGGCTGTCTTTGGGCCAGTTACATAGCTTAACCTACCTCACAGGGTTGTTGTGAGGAAAACTGGAGGCGGAGAGAAGGATGTAAGCTGCTTTGGGTCCCTATCGGGAAGAAACAGGGGTATAAATGAAGTTAAAAAACAAAACAAAAACTAAATCACTGAGTGCTTCCCATTCCAAAATCCCAGGCAAGTAAGCTGTGCCTTGAGCAGACATTACCTAAAGTTAGCTTCCTTTCCTTCCCAATGGACACAGGGTCTGTTCTGAGACACCATAAGCAACCCCCCACTTTGTCTTCTGCTACCCCTACAACCCCAACCCTCAATCAGAGCGCACTGCTATACAGGCATCATAAATTCTTCTCTGACCCCTCTCTACCTACTGCATTTGTACACTAATTCTTTTTTCAAGAGGCTGAGGTTCAGTTATGCAGTTCTAACCCTAAGCAACAATCCTACAAAACAGGTTAGGCTGAGACTGACTTGCCTAACCTCATCCACCAAGCTTCACAGCTGAGCAGGGATATGAACATTAGTACAACACGCAAACCACTACTTCACAGTAGCTCTCCCCTTTCTGAACCACACCATGCTCCAAATCACTCAAAACTAAATCCAGGTTCATTATTTTTAAAAACTAAACACACACACAAAATACAGGAAAAAATCGTGAGAAAAAAAACTGAACAACCCTGTAAATGGAAGAACTCAGAATCTAAGCATGTTTAGCTGTGGAAATGTCAGCAAGTGGGAAGTAAAGTTCCTGCCTGTCATGTTCATGGATCTTTCTTATAAGGTCCACACAGATTAACATTTCTCATATAGCAAACACAGCCACTGCAGGGAAAAAGCATTTGTTAAAATCAACCTGCAAGCTCCATTCTGAGCAGCATCAAAGAAGTCATCTTGGTCTCTTCTGACCACACAAACCAGGAAACACTATACAGGGGAAGGAAATAACATTTTATCACATGACTTCTATTATGACATTTAATTATAAAGAAGTATCGGGATATTGCTGAAGCATTTTTTAAAAATGAACAAATTTTGATCTGGGAAAGAGGACTTAAGAACTTTCAGATATCCTCAAGTTCTAGTCATTTTGCTCCTAACAACTCAAGATCAAGGTCTCCAGAATAGATCTGTGTTCTTCTAAAGATACTTTAACAGACACTCCTTTATTTCTAGAAAGAAGTATAATTTATTACTTTTTAAAATTCATTCTAATAAAGTCCTACATATCTATTTATGGACTATCAGGTCACATGTAAACTGTAATGTATACCTGACCTTACTAGCCAACTCAGCTGCATTTTTCAATGTGGTTTCAACGATGCTGGAATTATTCTATGTTAAAATATACTTTAAGTGAAAGGACTTATATATTTTTTTAAAATGTCATGTTAATTAAGCAAAACAGGAATCCAGTTGCACTTTACAGACTAACAATATTTATTCCAGCATCAGCTTTTGTGAACTCACTTTCATGAAGTGAGCTGACTCACAAAACCACAATAGAATAAATTTTGTTAATTATTTTGAGGCACTCTTCCTCTTTTTTTATTCCTAGGGACCAAATAAGCTACTTATCTGGAACTATCCTGGTTAAGAGAATTCACACACTTGAGTTGTAAAACAGTATGAAAACTGCAGAAACTGCAGCAAAATAATTCTGTCAAAGCTAGCACTTTGTAATTAAAAATCAGGAAAGCCCTGGAACTCTATAAACAGAATCTGGAGCATTCTGCTGAATCTGCTGCTCAAGGCACTGAATTATGGCTATCATTACAGCGTTCTTTTTGGCAAAATAAAGTACCAGATTGAAAAATAGGTGTATATAATCTGACACAAGACTTGCATTGTTGTTACAATATGAATGCTTTTAAAACCAGTAATTTTAGGTCCAAGCCAACAACTTAAATTCCTTCAGCAAAACCTGCGAGAAAATTAAATGAGAAATCCTTGGACCAGGCCTCCAAAAATCCACTAATGAGAAAAGGGGTATCATTATGGGCTTATCTTTGGGACAAAGTTTGAGTCCAGTGTTCTGCTGCTTCAGACCAACACCCGAATTTATCTTTAGGACAGAAAGCTTTGCCCACGATTTCTCATTACAAAACATAAAGCAACACAAGGGACCTTAGGTCTCCTCAATTTCTCTAGCATACTCAAAAGAAACACAGAAGGAAAGAGGTCAGTAGCAACCACAAAATATCGGTAGGTAGTAGATGAGAATTTCTTATCAATTTGCATCCGGGTATTTTTGTACTCAAAGAAAATCTCTCTCTGTGGAGAGGTAAATGTTCTCCAGGCTATTAAGAAGAGTCATCAGGTTGTCAGGAGGCTCTGTATCTCTCTAGGACACTTAAAATGATTCCATGGATTAGTCTTTTTTATAAACAAACAACAAAAAAAACCATGGGGCACTTCACATTCCCAATGTTTTAAGGATTGGGGTAAAAAACCTCCATGACAGCAAAAACCAATAGCTCATTAGGGGCTAGTTTGTACTACAGCTGCCTTTTTGTTTACAGAAAGAAAACCAAGTTTGAGACCAGTGGCATGTTTAAGATCAACTTTAACTCAAACTTTGTTCTGCTGCTTCAGACCAACACAGCTACCTACCAGAAAGAAAACTATTTATACATAGTTGTGCCTTGACCTCAAAGGCCCAGGCTAGCCTGATCTTGTCAGATCTCGGAAGGTAAGTAGGCCCTGATTGGTACTTGGATGGGAGACCACCAAGGAAGTCTAAGGGTCGCTATGCAGAGGCAGCCAATGGCGAAACACCTCTAAATGTCTCTTGCCTTGAAAACCTTATGGGGTAACCATAAGTTGCCTGCAACTTAATGGCACTTTCCACCATTACATAGCTGTATTCTTAGCATTCTGCCCCAAGTGTTCAAATGGGTTGGAAATATGCCCACAATATCAGCAGCATGAGTCTACTCTAGCAAATATTGCTATTGTAAGGTATTTCAAAATGATTATGTGAATTCTATTAAATAATGATTCAAAACATGTGTCCAGAATCTCAAACTTAAGTAAAGCACTAAACATGGTAGGCATAAAAGATTGTAGTTCTTTTTAGATACAGGTCTCTAATATTTATCCACTTCTAATGTGCTCAATTACCACAGGTTGATATAACCCACAGCTGACTTTTGGTCACTGAAAACTAGATCCCCGTATTTCCATGATGTTTTGTGCTTTCATGCCAATAAAGGTTTTGTGTGTGTGTGAAGACTAGATCAGTAGGAATCTAGAAACTGAGAATCACCAATTCTGACTGCTGCAAATTTGCTGCAGGGGAGCGGAGCTACCCATTTCATTATTTCAGAACCCCAAATCTGTATAAATGAAAAATATGATTTATGCAATATACAAGTATTTTGCCTTTGTTCTTCAAGATCAGTCCACTGAAGAAACCGATCATATTTACCTGGATCACTAAGTTTCCATCTACCTATAGTCCTACCTGTTTTCTCATCCCCCCCTTGTGAGACAATCATGTAAAGTGTGTATAGACAATCATGGAAAGGTTGAAGTCTAGAAGCCTGGGAAACTCTAGACCAAGAGAATGAACTAGCCAAAACCTGTCATATTAATTAGGTCTTTTCAATTTCGATTAACTGCACTGAAAATTCTGAGTGAGATATGTGTATCAAATGTACATACAACAGTAATAAATGATTTCCCCCCCGTTTCAACCATGATAATTTTCATTATAAGTATCAAGGTAACGTCTAAGCACATAGGCATCCAATAATATTCTGATTACATGGTTTTATGGACACTGAAATGAACCCTATGTCGTTAAGCCTCTGATCATGTATAAAAAAACCAGGACCAAATTAGAAAAACAAGAGCGAGTCTGTCATGACCTGAAAGAATTATGTAAAAACACTCACAGGGCCATAGTCTAAATACAGAATTTTTAGGAAGTAATGTGAGTATCATTAGTAAGCCTGCATTTTTCACATTAGTATAGGTAGTACTGATAACAACTAAGTTTATTGAGCAGTTTTCAAGTCTGTTAAAAAGTGGAATATAGAGATTTGAAGAGGGGGAGGGTATCACAGAAAAAAGCTTGGAAGAAGCACCTTTTCCAATGCAAAAGTTAGAAAGCTGGGGAGCACTAAAATAACTCCTATTAAATATTTTATCTTTTGGAATTAGTTAAACCTTATTAAGGCAATGTTCTACTCGCTCAAATGTATAATACAATTATTGTTATAAAAGATTCTTCTGTCTACTGTAGACATAAAGTTTTCAATAATTTATTATTTAAATGTAACTATCTAGTTCACAAGTACTATACAAAAATCTGTCTGGTGATAACATGTTTTCACTGTTATAAAGTTTAACTTGATATACAGGTATGATTCTGAATGAGTTCATTTCTATCCAAACAATATACTTTCTTTTATTTGCAAATATTGCGTTTTCTACTTTTGTCTTTTTTTCCTTAGCTTTTTGATGACAAAAACCATCTATATCATTATAAACAGTACAATTTCATATGCAAAGTTAAAAATGATGCACATTATGTTATTAAAGCAGAAAAATAAGTTTATGGTTGAATCTTAACCATTTCCCCCCCAAATTTCAATTCCCCCTACCCCAAAGAAACAAGACAAAATTGAGTTTTCGTCTATGGCTTCTGGAAACTTTTCCTCTCTAAGTTGATATATTCATTATTTGAACAAACCAATGCCAATAAGTCTGTGGCTTATAGATACACTTAAAACTTTGATGCTAGCAGTATTGTACTTGATTTCATTTCTAAACCCTGTGTAGAGTTCACAGCTTCTATACAGACACTGCTCCCACCTGAATTCCAAGGGCCTCTGACAAACTGAAGATAATAAATAAAATCACCTAAGACAAGTGTAAAAGTATGAAGCAGGTCAAAAATTAAATAAATAACCACATTACTAAAGGAGATTCAGGAGTTACAATCAATGCTCCCTCTAAGCTGTGGAGTCATGTGAGCAAAAATTCTACTTTGTGAGCTACTGGCACTAAAGTTGTGAGTGAGCAATTTGGCTGCTGCATAACTTAGTTTGCTCTGGAGCCATCCTTCCTGAGCTAAGACAAAAATGTGTGAGCCAGAAGCTAAAAAACTGTGAGCTAGCTCACACTAAATCAGCTTAGAGGGAACACTGGTTACAATCCAAATGATTAATAAGATGCTGTGCCAAGGAGGATGAAATGGACATATTTCAAGTGCCAGAAATACTGAAAGGGATAACACGTTAACCTAAAGGAAGCAAATTTAGGTTAAATAGTATGAAAGCCTCAAAGCATCACTTAATAGCCAGAACAAACTGCCTTGTAGGTAAGGGAAGATTTCCTTTACATGCAGATTTCATAGGATAGCACATCCACTGCTCTCTCTTCTCTCCCCCGTAAATGATCAGTATGTGTCAGGATAAATGGTTAAGATTTACAGTAATGCCTATGAAATTCACTAATGAATGAGACTGCTCTGAGTTCCATGGAAATACACAAATAGTTCCATAAAACAGGTACTTACAGGTCTCCTTAGAAAGCTTGTTATTACCGGTTTTATTCCAATTATGTCATTCATATTTAAAGAAATAAAAGATAACAGGAAAGCCAGAAATGGATGCTGACAAATTCTGATACCTCAATTATGTAGAAATTTCTATAGCGATTTTGGTTTGAAATGCTGGTTTGAGTCAGATTTCCAGTAGGCTGGCCATGAGCAAAACTACACTTCATCCGTTTGGAATTGTGGCCGAATCAAACCGATTTACGCCTCCTCCCGTTACAATAAGGCAAACTGCTGTTTCACTGAGCCGAGATGAACTACGGATGGGGCAATTTCGTGTTTCGATGTTAACTAGAGCCTGGTCCAGTCGATCCCCTGGTTGAGACAGTGTCACCTCAATGTCGCGCACGTAGCGGACGACAGAACTACCCATTCTTCAATACAGCGGAAGACACAGCTAGCCCCTCCCTCAAGGGAGGCCGCTGGCGTCTGTTCTCGCACGCCCCCCCCCCCCCCGACAACCACTTTTTAGCGATTCACAGCGGCGGCACCGGGACGCCGGCCTCTCACCCCGCCCCTATAGGGGAGGAGGAAAAGACGCTACGCAGGTCCTGCCAATCACCGCACCAGGCCTTTCTTGCCCCTCTCCCCTACACCGGCTCTCCTCCGCCTTCTTCGGGCCTGACGAGCAGGCAGTACTTCTTACCGTCCCGGGAGGTGCCCATGAGCTGGTCCAGCATCGCGCGCATTTGGGCCTGTGCCGACATCCTGAAAGCGCGCGGGGCCCGGGAGGGCCGGCCTGGTCCCTGTAAGCCCCGCCCACAGCGGCCTAGAAGGTGTCGAGCCCGACGCGGCGGTCGCTTCTCTCAGGGACAAGCTCAGGCGGAATCGCGCGCGCCCTCTGTCTCTCTTTCGCGCCGTAGTGGTTACAGCGACGCCTTCAGCCTCTGTTCTTGCTGAAAGGGAAGGCGAGTGACCGCCTCGTGCCAGTCTGTGTCTGAGGACGGCGGGTCCCCGTATGCTCGCCCCCTTCACGCCTGCCTCACTAGGCGCGCGCGCCGCCAGGCGGTAACGGACATCCGCGCGCACGCGCCATTCTCCCGCCTCCCTTGGCGACTAGTATCCCATTGATTGGCCAAGCCGAGCTTGCTGCGTCTGTGATGTAAAGCGTCCTCGCTGATTGGCCTTGAGAAATCGTCGGCCCCTCGGACCGGCGCTAGAGCTGATTGGAGACGCAGCCGCCAGCCTTTTTCTGTGACTTTTCTCCTTTGAATCGGCCAAGCGTCACTGGCTCACCATCGATTAAGTTATTAAGAATATCCCCGCCCCGCGCCTAGCGAAGCCAGTTCGTTTTTATGGAAGGCGACAAGGCTCATTCCGTGCCCAAAGTGTCGCCATAGTGGGAGTGGGGATAAAGCTTGGCATCAAAGGTGGAACTATCAATTATTCGGGTTTCTCTTTTGTTTGGTTTTGTGACGGGACTACCCTGTTATTCTGCTGTAGCAAAAAAAGAAAGAAAAAATAGGCCCGTTGGACTTTACGGTCTAAACGATTTATTGTATCATAAGCTTTTGCAGTCTAGAGTGCTTTTCATCACATGCTTTGAGTGAAACCTCAGAAACCGTATACATTTAGGGACAAACATTACCGTGTGAACAGTGAGAATTAAATACCACGTACGTAGGGTTGCCAGGTCTGGGTTGGAAAATACCTGGAGACTTTGGGGGTGGAGCCAGGAGAGGGCGGGGTTTGGGGAAGGGGGGAGCCTCAGCATAGTACAATGTCATAGAGCCACTTGTCAAAGCAGCCACTTTCTCCTGGGGAGCTGATCTCTGTCAGCTGGAGAGCAGTTGTAAAAGCAGGAGATCCCCAGGCCCCACCTGGAGGCTGGCAACCCTAGTCAAGGGACACCTTAAGACCAACTATTTATTTCAGTATGGGTGTTCAGGAGTTTCAGCTCATTCTTCAGATATATGAAGTGTAAATCCTACTGGGAAATATGGGGAAGGTTGGGGGCCATAGTTTGGTGTAAATTACACCATGAGTTTCTTCAGTATTCTCAATATAAGGGGAAAAGATAGAAGATGTATCAGAACAATAGAGATTTTACTCATTAATGTTAGTCTTTAAGATGCCACTGGACTTTTGTTTTATTTTGCTAGGGCAGACTACTACAGCTACCCCTTGCAGTTAAATGCTATGAAGGTGTAGCCTGTGGCTTGCTTGTGCAAAACTGAAAAGTGTGTCACAGATTATGCCTCTTGCATTTCATGTGCTTTTAGACTGCATCTATATTTTATATATTTTCAAAATGTATATGCTGATTCTTGGCTGTGTTGGAAACATGCTCACAAAAGAGTAAAACATACATTTAAAAATAAAATATGAAATCAAACCACCACCACCTAACAATACTTGTAACCACATTTCCATCTTGTCAGATGTTGGAAGCTAAGCAGGGTCGGCCCTAGTATTTGGATGGGAGATCACCAAGGAATACTGGGGTTGTGCCACAGAGGCAGGCAATGGCAAACCACCACTGAATGTTTTTTGCCTTGAAAACCTGCAGAGGGTCACCATAAATCAGCTGTTACTTGACAGCAAAAAAAGGGGGGGTGTCACAAACCTTGGCCATAAAACTAGTGTGCTAAAGACCAGTGAAAGAGGATTTTGTTGCAAATATTCAAAAATCTAGGAACAGAAGGTGCTTTACAGGACTTCTACAGAGAGCTATGCCATGAAGATTGAAAAAAACTAAGACCTAGCAGAAGAGGTCCATACTTCCTGCTGTGCTGCTATAAAGAGCAGTTGCACAGAGGACCTTAGTTTGTAGGAAAGCAACTCTTTATGTATATGAATTCCAGGTCATAAAGCCCTTTATAAGGAAGAACCAGCATCTTGAGTTCCATTGAAAACAGGCAAGCGATAAAGCTGTTCTGTAGTTGGTGGAATAAGCACCTGCACTCATCATAGATGTGTACCTGCAATTTGTACTAATTGACATTTCTGTAAGAACTTTAAGGGCAGCCTCACATAAAAGTGCAGTACAGTATTCCAGCCTAGAGATTACAGAATCATGGATCAATATCATTAGATCAGCTCAGACTAAATGGGAAGAACCTACAAATGAAGGTCCAGTGATAAAAGGTTTTCTAAATATCGTTAACAACACACTCTTCCAAGGGCAGAACTGCATCCAAGGATACACCCAAACTTTTAACTCTGTCTGACAAATGAACACCATGTATTATACATTTTATCCTGATAGAGAATTCACTCCATGCATCTACAATAGTAAACTGTAGCCTACAAATACTTCAGCTGCAAATTTGTTAGTCCAGGCTACTTTTTTTGTTTCTTCATGATCTCAACCTTTTTTGTTTACCCTGCCTTTTTTGGTTGGGTATTTTCCCCTTTCTTTTAGTGTTAAATCCCCATTCAGCCACAGAACTCACTGGTGACCCAGGGGCAATCACTGTCTTAGGAAAGTACCATGAGAGCAAAATAAGGATGGAAAGACCACATATGCCACCACCCCAAGCTCCTTGGAACAGGGAGGGACATGACTTATATTCAGTAAAATTAAAATTGAGATATGCTTTCTTTTGCCATGATCCGGATAGCCCAGGCTAGGCCGATCTTGTCAGATCTCAGAAGCTAAGCCAGGTCAGCCCTGTCTAGTATTTGGATGTGAGACCTCCAAGGAATACCAGAGTCATGACATGGAGGCAGACAATAGCAAACCACATCTTAAGTCTCTTGCATCGAAAACCCTATGGCAGGGGTGTCAAAGTAATTTGTTATGAGGGCCGTATCTGACATAAATGAGACCTTGTTGGGCTGGGCTATGTGTGTCATAAAATGTAATGCCAGGTAGCAGAGATATAAACTTTATAAAAGACACAGAGACAAACATAATTAAAGATTTTTTTAAACTTTAAATAAAAGATGCTTAAAACACTAGCACTTTTGCAATATTCTGTCTATTTAGCAGTGTCTGATAACTGACACCTCTGCTCTGAATTAATGCAGCAAAATGCCTGTGCTGTAGCAATCTTGAGTATGCTGTTCAGGTGTGTATCTGTAAGCTACAAACCTACTTTTGATTTACTGACATCCATTACAGAAATCTCATGCTCAGTGTTCCTAGCCTGGGACCCAGGGAAAAACATAAAATGGCTGGGCATTGCAGCCTTTTGTATATAAGTTGCTTCATGTGCTGGTCAAGAACATGAGAAGGCATCCTGACACAGACTGAGGGCCATGTGTTTGTCTACAAAACAGTCTTCCGCAGAGAAATAACTACAACTTCCTACAAAGGAAATGTGCTGGGTGAACTTGGTCTGGACAGCCTAATCCACCTCACTGGCTTATTGTTATTCCTCCTCTAAAATAGTTCACATTGCTTTCGTACTGAGAAAGACTGGATCATGAGGGCATGAATACAGTGAAAAGGGGGAGGGAACCCAGTTGCACCCAGGAGAGCCCTGGCATAAAGTGCCCAACGAAACACAAGCACACTGTAGCAAAGCACACAAAAGCTCATACCTTGAATAAAACTTTGTTGGTTGGTATTTCTCCCGTGTGATTGAGGCAGCCCAGAAAAGCAAGCTCTCCCTCATTCCATCCCTCCCTCCCTTCCTTCCTGGAAGGAGGAGCCCCAGCTAGTGGAAGGGAAGAAAAGCTCCCCTTTATTTCCTGCAGCCTGGCCAGGAAGCAAGCTCTGGCTGTTCCCTCCCTCCCCCTGGGAGAAGGAAGGGGAGGAGCCTCAGCCAGTGCTTTACCAGACTCTCTCAATCACACAGGAAAGGCTTGCCATCTATCTCTCCTGTGCGATTGAGAGAGACTGGTAAAGTACGCTGTGACATCGCAGCAGCAAGAGAACTGGAAAAGGAAGTAAGAAACATGCAGGGCTTTGCAGGCTGGACTGGGGCCCTCCGAGGGCCTGATATGGCCCACAGACCGCATGTTTGACACTCCTGCTCTATGGGGACACCATAAGTCAGCTGTGACTTGACAGCACTTTCCACCATGCTTTCTTTTAGACATCTTTCCTTTTAGAAAACTTTTAACATTTGTAATCTGTGACAGCACAAGTTTTCAAGACAGAGTATTTGATCCTCATGCCGTTTAAGAAGATCCTGGTTAGCAAGGCAACCACTCATTTACATATACTTCTAAGTTTGTCCAGTCGCTACAGGATGGATGTGAACACTGAATGAGTAACCCAGTGAGAAGAACGTGCAGCCAATTGCTCTACCCATATTTGAACCATATGATCAACTCAACCAACCACTGCCATTAAATAAAAGAATTTTTATTTAAATAAAGTTCCTTAAAGATTAGCAAATGATTTCATATTTATGACTCCCACCCTTTCCCTCCAGGTTGGTGAGGTAGCTTAAGGCCCACTAGCCCAGCTACTTCCTCTGGTGAGCGCTCTCCACTGCCATGATATTCCTGATGCAGCGCTAAGTGCTTCCGAACACTATGCAAAAGACAGAGATAGGTGGCAGCCTGGAAATGCAGATCATGTTGAGCCCTGCATAACTTTTCACTGGTTACCTGGAGAGAAAGAAAGGTAAATAAACACAAGGAACTTGGAACAAACACACACTAGAATTCCACTCAAAAAGCTAAGTAACTTTTAACATACTGCTTCACTAGCATGGATACATACTATATATGTAACATAATGCCAGAACTTAACTAGAACTTTTTACAGTGGGTGGAGGGAGCTAGAACAGACATGGGAAATAGCTATTTAGCTCTGGATATTAGAATATGGAAGAGAGCAAAGTGTACTTCAGCTTTCTAAGCCACTCTCTCAAGGGTTCAGACAG